CACATTATTTGACCATTACTGCTCTTTAAGTTGCTGCCACGTAAAAGTTGGTATTGCATATAAAAAAAAATATCACTCCGTAATCCATGACCAGGCGAAGTCACATTGAAATCACATTGCGTTCAGACGCAAATCGCAATGCGGGGAAAGCGATTCGAAACCACCTCTAGAAGTGGCTTGGGATCGAGGCGCTTTCAATGTGATTTCGGAGCGTTCAGATGGAGCCACTTGAAACCGGCTTCGGGGTAAACCACATGTAAACCGCCTTGGGTGGTTCCGTATAGATACGCCCTTACAGAACCTGAAACAGACAGGTGTGTGGTTACAACTAGACTTACAGCACCTGAAACAGACAGGTGTGGTTACAACTAGACTTACAGCACCTGAAATAGACAGGTGTGGTTACAACTAGACATACAGCACCTGAAACAGACAGGTGTGTGGTTACAACTAGACTTACAGAACCTGAAACAGACAGGTGTGTGGTTTGTTGACCACACACCTGCTTGCCAAAAAACAGTTGCTCAAGCAACTGGATATGATTTTGAAAACGTCAGACGTTTCAGCTAGTATCCACTAGCTTTCGTCAGTGACTGAGAGACCAGAGGGGAAAGCAGGTTTATATACACAACCTGTTGATTGATATGCAAATAAAGTGAAGACAAATTTTTGGAAGTCGAAGAAAAACAAAAGTCAGACAAGTCAAGACAAGATGATGCAAATTAGTCTGAAAGCTCCTGTATTACAGGACAGGAGCTTAAGTGTTGTCTGTCCTCGGGGCTGGGAGTGCCAAATCCCAAGTGCCGGAAAGATCGACCCATAGCCCCCCTTCCCTGTTGAGGGTGGGGTTGTACATTCTTTCGTATATTTTATTATACATATTATATGTATATAAACCTGCTTTCCCCTCTGGTCTCTCAGTCACTGACGAAAGCTAGTGGATACTAGCTGAAACGTCTGACGTTTTCAAAATCATATCCAGTTGCTTGAGTAACTGTTTTTTGGCATGTTATTCTGTGATTTTCTAACGTTATGAACTTTACTATTGTTTGCCCAGTTGGATATAGGAGAGACTCAAGTGGACCTGATAGCCAGTGCCTGTCTCCCCTACATCAGCACCAGGCAGCCTGCAAAACTACAACAGGTACTTCTTCTTCAGTCTTCCTCTATGAGGTGCAGCTAGTGAAGTTTTGTCTCCAGTACAGTCTGTCAGTCATTGCGGACAGAAGTTCCGATCCTTGCAGACCCATTTCAGACTCAATGAGTTTCTTAAGAGTTGTGCTTGGATGACCAATCCTCCTTTTTGCATCTGGAGTCTTTTGCGGCCTTGCCGGTGTTATTCACTGGACAGGGCAGCATGGAGGAGCGGTGTGAAGACCAGTACTACTAGCCGACTGCTGCCGACCCCTGTGGCAGGGACAACAGCACCCGTATAATCTAATCCTGGATAGTGAGTGAGTGAGTGAGTGAGTGAGTGGGTGAGTGGGTGAGTGAGTGAGTGAGTCCAAAGTAGGCTCTCTACCTCGAGTCACATGACCCGCGAGGCTAAGCCAACATCTTTCCACTACCTTGTGAGCAGTGTATCACAGGTTGCAGAAAGTCTGTAGCGCCCCCCGGCAGTTCATAACGTTGTTTTCCCACTTTTCTGTCCCTCTGCAGGCTGCCTGTAGTGTGTTTGATGCACTGGTTCAGCTGGATTCGGACGTGGTGTGGCTAACTCTGTGTGACGTCTACTGCCCTGCAGTCCCCCAACCACCCCATCCCTGCTTCACACAAGTCAAGGTACAAAATTTATCGTATCCACAACCGTGCCTATCCAGTTTTATGCCTGACGAGTGGGTTAGGATCAGGCACGGTTCTTGCTACTGTAACAATAGAGACTATCCAGAACTGTGCCTGATCCTAACCCATTCAGGCATAGAACTGGATAGATGTTCTGGATAGTCTCTATCGTACCCAGTTCTATGCCTGCATGGATTAGGGTTGGGATCAGGCACGGTTCTGGATAGCCTCCACGTATCCAAAAAACATAGATTTGCTCCAGGCTCCAGAACCATGTTCAGCCAAAATCCTGGATAGACCATGCTTATCTACAACCGTGCCTGATCCTATCCCTAACCCATTCACTCTGAACTACAGTTAGACAGGCACAGCTCTGGATACAATAGATCCACCTACATGTACATATTACATGTGCATACAACTGGTCAGACACTTTCTGACAGTCTAGAACAAAATGTAAAAAGAAATAATAAGTTGGTAGATGTTTTTGCAGTGTTGTTTGAAATGTGCATTTTTTTTCCTTTTCAGGTCTCTGGATCCACTTCTGAAAAGTCTGAGTTTGCAGCCAACATCTCTCTTCTGATGGACAAGCTAAGATAATACATTTTATACCAGTTGTTTGGTTTGTTTGTTAAAATTATGGTTCTGTTCTACAAATAAATGTTTAAAGCTGTTTCACTCACTCACGCTTGCTGGTCAAAGTCTGTCTGTTTGTTTGTTTGTTTGTTTGTTTGTTTGTTTGTTAGAGCCTTTGAAAGTTTGTTTAGTTGTGAAATACTCAAATCGTCACGTTGGCCGCTTTCCATTTAGGTCATGAGGGAAGATACAAGATACACTCAGGTTACATGATTGTTATCTTACCAAAGTCCATAAACATGTAGTCACTGTCATACAAAGTCTAATAGATGTAGTTTACATAGTACATGTACATTGTATATTCCTAGTGGTACTGATTTTAACCAAAAATTAAGTACCGTAAAATAAGCTTAAATCCTAATGCTAGCCTTACAGTATCTTAAATCATCATTAAGTTCTCAAAAATTTGAGATATACATTGTCTATTATGAGTCATACCGAGAACTGTGAAGCCCCCTAGTGATGCCCAGAAAAACTGCAGTCAATGAAGAAACTTGCCACACACAAAAGATTAAGATTAGATTTAATAGTTTATTCTTTATCCCAGAGTATACAACAGTTACTATACAATCAATAGTACAATTATTGCAATATATACCATAAAATCAAAACATACAAATACAAAAAAGATACTTATTATTACACATATATAGCACACAACAAATCTTAACATTTTAGATATGCCACTACCAGATATGTCACAAGTTTTGAATACACGAATATATAGTATCAAGTATTACTTGATATGTGTTAGAGACATAATCTTGCAAAGATGCAATTTAGATAGGAAAAGGCATCCTAATTGAGTCATTATCATTCAGATAAAGATAAACTAGCTGGGACTTATGTTTATTTTCAATATTTAATGCTACTACAGATACGTATCTTGTAGATACTGAACAATGACCCTGTTGTGTTACGCCCCCTATCTGTTGCTTGTGGAACAGCAAGTGGTTTCAACTCTTCTTTGGATGAAAATATATGTTTTGATTTCAATATTTCTTGATAAAAAAACATGTCGGAATCAAGTTGATTAACAAATTTAGAATTGCACTGTAGTTTGCTTAACAATAACAGTGAAGAGATCCACACAATTTACAATTTAAAGCATGCAGAAGTCATGAAATCTATCATTAGCTCTCCAGAAATCATCCCAAATTCTAGAAGCATCAGACTGCAGTACACAAGAAAAGTGCTAGAGGTCGCTTATGATCAGACTTTATCCTTAGAAATCTGTACACAAACACTTAATGTAGAGTACATTGTATAAAACATTCAAATACCAACAGGACGACTGGTACCAACAGTGAGGAAGTCTCTACAAAGTAATGATGTAACAGAAGCCATTTTCACAGAAGGCGTTTGCAGGTTTGTTCACCACAAGCGCATGCAGTGAAACATAATTCACTGTGCTAACGCAAAAGTTTATTGAAGTTTGAGCACACAACTTGCTACCATTGTCATTGTACTAGCCCCCTGGTGTAGTGTTATCTGTGCTTGCACAACTGTGTGGCCCAAGGGCTAAGGAAACAAAGATGGTATGGGAAGGACTCAATATACTTAATATGTACATTTATTAAAAACATAACCCTGATCCGAACCCCTGCTGTAGTGTGTCCTAAACCTGTGTGTGGCCCAAGGGCTGTAGAAACTGAGATTAGCACCGTGTTGTAGACCATGCGGACCTGAATGTTAACTAGTTGCATATTTGTTGTTGTTGTATCCAGAACCACGCTTTATCCAGAACCGTGCCTGGAGCAAAACTACGTTCTTGGATACACGGAGACTATCCGGAACTGTGTCACCTTAACCCATTCAGGCGTAGAACTTGATTGGCACGGTTCTGAACAGTCCATGCGCATCCTAGGGCAAATCTACGTTCTTGTATACGTGGAGACTATCTAGAACCGTGCCTGATCCTAACCCTGACCCATTCAGGTACAGAACTAGACAGGCACAGTTCTGGATACGTTTTTTGTGGACAATGTCAATGTCACCATCTGAAGTAGTCCGTGGCTGCTACCCTGAACTGTGCCTGATCCTAACCATAACCCATTCAGGCATAGAACCAGACAAACAAAGTTCTGGGCACGTTTTTTGTCCAATGTTAAGGTGCAGGAAAGCGGAACTGTGGCCTGTGGTCCCTGGTTACGGGAGGGGGGCACCTGAAATAGTCCGTGGCTGCTACCCTGGGGTACCCCTGCATCACCTCGAGTTCTCTCTCGTCTAGTCTGTACACCTGGTCTCCATTAAAGAAATACAGCGCTCCTGGAAAAACAAAGAAATTTCAGACTATATTCTTTGAAGGTTTGCCTGGATTCATTTTATGAACCAGGAGAATACTCGTGAAAAAACTTTAAAAGAAAAAAGTTATACATCCATTCATGAACTATCGTCTTTATGATAGCGTTCTTGAGATTTGATTACCTCCGTGTATGATGGAGGTTTTGTTTTCAGTTCGTTTTTCTGTCCGTGTGTTTGCTTATTGAGTACAGTAGAGTCACAGGAAGTGAGGGAGGAATGCTGTAACCGCAGACTAACAGGAAGGTCGAATGGGGCGTCAAAATGTTCTCCCAGCGCTTTTGTCAATTGCTATGATATGTTTTGATGTCAAATCAGATGTTACGACTGACAGCTTTCCGACACCTGATTTGAGATTACAGGTCGTAAAGCGCCACCTACCGTCATCGTGTCGAATTGCAGCGTCGACGCCGTCCCAGGGAAGACCCTTCCACATCCGGCGGATGGGCTTGGGCGTCCGGCTGTCCAGCCGCCGCTCTTTTTCATCGTACAACCAGTAACGTCTGCCCTATAGAATACCAGACGAGAATGCTTTTAGCAGGACACATCCTCCGTCTACCCAGCAGATAACACTCTTAAGACTAGAGAGGAAGGCTAAAAAATACATGGCGGAGGACTTTCCAAGAAGACCTGAGAAGGGCAAACATCCCCTTGGAGGAGGCAGAGACAGTAGCTGCTGACAAACGTAAGTGGAAGCTTGCTGCCCGATGTGCCATCATGCACGGGAGGAACTAACTAAGGGACAGTACGATATTTGCTAAGTATTTACCAAAACTCATGAGCTTAATCATCTTAAATCTTGAAGACTTAAAGTGTCCCTACCCTGAAGAAGTAGGTATGCCCCTCCCACGGTAGCACGGCGTCCACGTAGTTCGGCAGACCCAAATCCACAATGCGATGCGGGCCGCTCTCAAGCTTGTTCACGTGGAACACGTAGTAGTGACGCCCTGGGTAAAAAAAATGGAAGAAGATGAATTAATTTTAACTTTCATTGCAATATCAAATGTGTAAAATGTTCTCCAAGCAGAGGTTCAGACTTCGGCCTATTGTTTATGTGTTTTAGGCGTTTTTATCGTGTTTTCTTTTATGTACTGGTGTCTTTTTTTTTCACCAGCCAAAAGGTAGCGTGTTGGATACTGAATTGGGAATTTGCTGCCACCAAAAGATCTGCTTGGAGAGTACGTATACAAATTTTGGCCAATATATTTGTAGTACGTACTTGTTTTTCTAAAAGAAAGGCAATTGTCAGCATGTCGGGTGACTAAAAATGATTTCGAACTTCAAATTATTTATCATGACGCGTTATGCCACAAGGTTGTCCCGGCGAGCAATAAAGGTGACCGAGGACAGACCCAGATGGAAGAGAAGAGTCTCATCCCTTATGTCTCTCAAGGGATGAAGAGGATAAGTAAGTAAGTACCCTGGAAGATGACGACTTTTTGGTCCGTCTCCCGTTGGTAGATGGCGTCGAATGTACAAAACTAGTGCGTTACACCTCAAGGCAGTTTTCCAGATATGCAAAACAAACAAACGGGATCGGGTACCCTGAAAGATGATGACTTTCTGGTCCGTCTCCCGTTGGTAGATGGCGTCGATGTGGTTCGTGTGGTCGGACAGCCCCCGCCAGTAGTCACTGATGACGTAGGGACCGTTCTTCCCGTCAGGACCTCGCCAGAAATACCTGTCAATCAAACAAAAACGTAAATCTAAAAAGTGCTTAGGGAACATAAGGCTCCATCAACATGATAGAATGTCTTGTTTTATACTTTATTGAGAATTTGTTGCTGATTCTGAGAAAAACTGCCTTCATGCCTAGAGCTTTCGACCAGTGTCTCTGGTCTTCTTCAGTAAACAGATGGACTGACCCAGTGAGGCTTGTCACGTGATTTCTCGGGTCCAAAGCTCTAGGTGAGAGAACTTCTTTGTGTGTGATTAAGGTTTTAACTTAAACAGGTTTGCGATATTTTAGAAGTACCCAAGTCTCCGTGCCCATGCGCGCGATGGTGTCGATGTCTGCGGTTACATCATCCCCCACCTCTCCCTCGGCATCATGGGAAAAACATGGCGGCACCCGTGAACCAAACCTAAATCAAAACAAATTTGCGATATACCAGGGAAATACCTGTTTTTGAAGACCCACGTCTCCGTGCCCATGCGGGCGATGGTGTCGATGTGCGTGGCGGCGGTGCAGATTTGGGGCATGCCGGGAGTCTCGTGGATTCCCGGGGAGTCTCGCGGGAGGTCGGGCACGCCCAGCAGCGGGCACTGGCAGGACAGAGGCGTGTACGCCGACCGGTGGCCCGAGGTGGAGCCGGAGCGCACGACATCTGGGCAGGCAGGAACAGAGAACAGAAGATGAGAAACAGATCGAGACTCCGGAAAGAGACCCATCTGACAAGAACAACCAAAAACTACAACCTCCAAAGGCTGACAGGTCACAAGGTGGTGGTTATTGGGTTGTTACATCAAGAACATAGAGGAGCTGGGTTAGAGGATCCCCATGCAAGCCGAGCAGTTTGGAAACTCGGCTGGGATGGATCTCTTCTCTTATCGATAAGTGTGGTGGGTTCTTTAATGTCCTCAAACACGGTACCTCCAGTTTAAGCCTTTACATCCCATCCAAGAGGACGTCCCTAGCAGACTATACGATGGCAGGGCTGTATCAATTCACCATAGGAGTGCCCATTAGCCACCTAGAATGGACACTCCTCTGGCCAATAGATACTACCTTGCCACCGTATGATCTGCTTGGAAGATTAGGTTCTAGTTCTCATTTTCACTTGAGTCAAGTGAGAAAACAGTGACTTCCCCCAAGGGCACAACATCATGGTCTAATGACTTACTGTCGACCGTTTCTGCCCTTGGAGGACCGTACAGTCGCTGAATGTCCCGGATGTCGTCCTTGTGTAGCCGGAAGTGACGTCTGAGCCCGAGGTAGTATGGGTACATGACGGAGGTGTGCTGGTGGGAGTGGCTCAGACCGAGGCTGTGCCCGATCTCGTGAACAGCCATCTGGTACAGGTTTATACCTGGGGAAAAAAATAAACAAACAATAAACAGGTTTACACCTGGGGCGGGAAAATAAACAAGTTTAAACAAGTTCATTTCTGCAGTAGAAAAAGGTAGGCAAAGTATCAAGGAGGCATTTTCAGTACCAAGGACAGAGATGTTTTCAGTACTAAACATCTCTGTCCTAAGGACAGACATTATCAGTAACAAGGACTGCGAAGACTTGTACATTTTTTGTAACAACATGGCAAAAGATCGGTGCGAAAATCTTTCCGGCGCAACCCGGCGCAAATGCGTCTTCTCGGCGGCAGGGAGAGCTTTTTATTACCAAGGACAGACGTTTTCAGCACCAAGGACAGAGATATTTTCAGTACTATAGAATATGTCAAGACAAACAGTCCTATTGTATCCAGATGAAAAAGGAATAAATAAAAGAAAAACGACTCCCGTACCTTCCCGCTTGTCCATGGTCCAGTCCTCGGAGTCGTCAAAGTGCACGTCCCCGGCGAAGTCCGATCCGGAGTCCGGCGGGAAGGCGTGCGCCAGGCTCCCGCCGCCGGACGGCGTGGACGGCCCGTCGAACGGCCGCTCGTCGCCGAAGTGGTCGCCGTACACGAAGGAGACGTCGATGTCTGCGTGGCCGAACACTCGCGTGAAGCGCAGCGCCGAAACAGACTCCCATAACTGAGGGGTGTGTGGAGATAATGCTATTATTAATTGCAAGATTACCAGAAAGGTACACTTGTAACATATCAAAGCAAACTACTGGTCTGTTTATTCTTACACAAACACACAAACCGACTCCCACAACTGAGGGCGGTTGATGGAAAAACAAAGATGTATAAAATAACTCGACAGACATTTTCGGTAATAAGGACAGTACCTAAGTATTCAGTACGGAATACAGACATTTTCAATACCAGGGAGACATTTTTAGTACTAAGGACAGGGACATTTTCAGTGCCAAGGAGATATTTTCAGTACCAAGGACAGACATTTTTAGTTCTAGTATGCTACTGGAAAGACTACCACAATTGAGGGGGAGTGGAAAAACAAAGATATATAAGTAAAATTAATCACACAACGCTTGTAGATGGTCCCAGACTATTGAAAGACAGCAAAACACACAAAACGCACCCTGAAAGCGTCAGCGATGGCGATGTCCACCTCCTCCCTGGTGAGATCCGCGGTGTAGTAGCTGATTTTGTAGGTGAGGTCGGTTCTACCCCACCTCACGTGGGACGTTCTGCCGTCCTCTGCGTCCGAAACTCCGCAACGGGGCCGCCGCGACAAGAACTGCAGAACAAGACAGCGATTTAAAATTATATACTACGTTTAATAGTTGTTGCCCTAGATTGTACCGTGTAGAGTTTTTTTTTTTTCAATTCCAACATAGTTTTTTTTTATTCCAACATTTCATGACCAAACATGGCGACGGCACACTCAAGCTATATCAACTTATTTTATGCCGCCACCAACACAGAGTACAAATACAGGACAGGACAATACTTATTTGAGTTAAGTGAGGAAAGTCGTGTTAAGTCCCTTTCCCAAGGGCACAAGATGGGTGGCATGTCAGGACTCGAACCAGGGACCTCTTGGTTCCGAGTCGAGCAATCTGTCGCTACGCCACAAGACCCCACAAATTGTTGAGCAATGAAGTTCATTCATTTGTTTCAAGGGAATATCTTGAGACTCCGACCGGGATCTGTATCGGTAGAATCACCGATTCTGGCAGATCATTGTCTCTACCCTGACATGAAAAAGTCAAGGACGGTCAACACCATCAGTAGCATCAAGGGCAAGGTTATTTCCAGGCTCAAGTACGAGGAGCACAGCTGTGACAACATGTACATGGGAGAGACCAGTCAGACACTCAAGAACCTGAGATCGTGACTTACAGCGCTGCCTGGACACGCCTCAAACACGTTTCACCACTTGGAACTACTAAAGAACACTCTTTCAGCCTACAATCAACTCCACATCAACTATATACTTCATTTTTTGTACAGTTAGATTTGTCTTCAGACTCTTCTTAACCACGTATTACCACTTGGAACTACCAAATGGCACTCTTTCAGCCTCCAATCAACTACAAATCAACTATATACTACATTGCTATACAGCTTACACTTGTATTCAGACTCCTTGGTCTTAGCCACGTATTACCACTTGGAACGACCAAAGGAGACTATTCCAACCTCCAATCAAGTCCACATCAACTATATACTTCATTTATGTCCAGTCGACTCCTTCTTTTTAGCCACGTTTCACCACTCAAGACTTCACAAGGGGGACTCTTCCGAGCTGCAATCAAGTTCACATCAAATGGAGGACATCGTGCTGAATAGGTCAGCTGAGGACAGCAACCTGAACTAGCCACCGTTTAGTGAAGACTTAATCTCCAATCTCCAAGCTAAATCTTCAAGCAACCTCAATGAGGTCAATCCCGCAGTGTCTTGCCCACCTGGGATCTGCTTTGAGATTAATGGAGAATATGTGACTAGCCTCTAGTAGTAGTAGTAGTAGTACTAGTAGTAGTAGTAGTACTAGTAGTAGTAGTAGTACTAGTAGTAGTAGTAGTAGTACTACTACTAGTAGTAGTAGTAGTAGTAGTAGTAGTAGTAGTACTAGTAGTAGTAGTAGTACTAGTAGTAGTAGTAGTAGTAGTAGTACTAGTAGTAGTAGTAGTAGTATTAGTAGTACTAGTAGTAGTAGTAGTAGTACTAGTAGTAGTAGTAGTAGTAGTACTAGTAGTAGTAGTAGTAGTACTAGTAGTAGTAGTAGTAGTAGTAGTAGTAGTAGTAGTAGTAAGCCTTTATTTAAACTAGAAAGCTTGTACATGTACGGTACACTCTACCAGGCTTCTTGAGGCGGCTAGAGCGGTGGTTTTATTATTTTTTTTGGGGGTGGGGGGGGTATCGCCTCCGCCGAGAGAGTTGTATCACCTGCGCTAGCGATAAGAAAAGACACGGCCAGAGGCTATTATGTGACCGGACACTGAGCAAAGTGGCTGCTGACGTCATCTGAAACAGACACGGTATCCTCAGATGACCCCTAGCCTTAGTGCCGAAGTCTTACTTAAGTAATTCCAGCCTTAAAGCCAAACAACTTAAGCCCATGTCTTAGTGAAAGGTCCATTGTCTTATAGCGTCTCCAACGCAGTATATTTGCGTTTCTTTGACCTGTGATGCGGTTACAAACGCGAAGGATTTAAAACCGTCCATTTGGACTCAAGTTCTCCAAACACGCAAAGCCTGTTAATTTGTGTGGCCTTTGCCCTGCATAGCGACCCTCTGTGGGCCCAGTGGAAGCGCCTGTTACAGTCGGGTTTCTTTTTAATTGGTAAAAGGGCGTTAGATAGAACAGCTTGCTGGAAAAAAAACACGTTTCCTTCTTTCTTCACCTCACAGAGCGAAGTTTAACTCTCCAAGCAGATGTTGGGGAGTAGTCATAAGGTATAAAACAAGAAATTCTCAAGAACGCATTGTGAGTATTTTCGAATGTTTTGCAGCATTAAAATTTCACCAAGCCCATTTCTCGTTGTCTTCTGTGCGTGGTGTGTGAGTGCAGATAATTTGCATCTTTGTAGGTAAGGCAGTCTGGTTGGATTGTGTTTCTTGTCTTCTTATGGAAAAGGCTATCTTGGATCCTTGGTTCTCTCACAGCCCGCTTGAAAATCCTACTTGTGGGGTCGTGTGGCGTAGCGGCAGAGAGCTCGACATGGAACCAAGAGGTCCCGGGTTCGAGTCCTGACATGCCACCGATCTTGTGCCCTTGGGAAAGGCACTTTACACGACTTTCCCCACTTCGCTCAGGGGAAAATGAGTATTGTATTGTCCCCTGTGTTGGTGGCGGCATTAATATAAGTTGAAAAAACTTGAGTGTGCCGTCACCCTGCCTTGTGATTACATGTTGGAATTAAAAAAAAATCCCACTTCATGACACATACCTACGACACATGTGAACCTAGTTTCATCTCCAAGCAGATCTCATTCAGGTGGGCAAGACACTATCGAATTGACCTTCTTGAGATTGCTTGAAGACTAAGCTTGGAGATTGGAGATTAAGTCTTCACTAAATGGTGGCTAGTTCAGGTTGCTGTCCTTAGCTGACCTATTCAGCACGATGTCCTGTATTTGATGTGAACTTGATTGCAGCTTGGAAGAGTCCCCCTTGTGAAGTCATGAGTGGCAAAACGTGGCTAAAAAGAAGGAATCAACTGGACAAAAATGAAATATATAGTTGATTTGTAGTTGATTGTAGGCTGAAAGAGTGCCATTTGGTAGTTCCAATTGGTAATACGTGGTTAAGAAGAGTCTGAAGACAAATCTAACTGTACAAAAATGAAGTATATAGTTGATGTGGAGTTGATTGTAGGCTGAAAGAGTGCCCCTTTGGTAGTTCCAAGTGGTGAAACGTGTTTGAGGCGTGTCCAGGCAGCGCTGTAAGTCACGATCTCAGTTTGTTTCTTGAGTGTCTGACTGGTCTCTCCCATGTACATGTTGTCACAGCTGTGCTCCTCGTACTTGGGCCTGGAAATAACCTTGCCCTTGATGCTACTGATGGTGTTGACCGTCCTTGACTTTTTCATGTCAGGATAGAGACAATGATCTGGCAGAATCGATTATCCTATTTTTTTGTTTATCGGTTTGGCTGTTCAACCAACCCAGCCAGGGAAGCCCAACTAGCCTGTGGCTATTACAAAGGCTTACCCTGCTGACAAGACATGACAAAAAAAAAAAAAACTCATCTACCAGTAGAGATCTCAGGTCATTGTCTCTACCGTTGGAGACAATGATCTGACAGAATCGGTGATTCTACCAGTAGATGTCCCGATCGGAGTCTCTAATTATTTTTAAAATTCAAAACGCAGTCTTTTATTAAGGACTTTTCAACTTGAGCCTGTAGATGGCCTTGTCATTGATGCTTGCTACTGATGGTGTTGGCTGTCCTTGGCCCTTTTTTGCATGTCAGCATAAAGACGTCTATCTTGTAGAATCGGCGATTTTCTACCAGTAGAGGACCCGATCGGAGGCTCTAAATTTTAAGATACTCTCTTAATTAAAATGAATGAATGAACTTTATTGCTCAATAATTGTGCAAGTTACAGTTTTAATGTTTTAAGGGCTTTTCAAAATTGATTTGTGCCACTTGAAAACAATGGATTGACTTGTTAAGGATTTGTAACTGGTAAACCACCCTAACACATGAACTATGAAATACAGCAGGCGCTATCTGAACAGTTTGATTCACAGAGAATATATCCAACAACAACAACAGATATCCTCGAAATTTGGATCTGAAGATTTCTGCAACCCAAGATACTTAAAGGCACGTCAAGCCTACAAGGCAAGCGTGTTTCATACTCATGCTAGTGTTTGTCCCTCCTGTTGCTTGTCAGATTGCTTTGTTCAGTGTCAAATATGCAAAGTATGGCATGTTAAGATGGCTGTGAAGTCGTTGACAGTTGAACATAGCCTCTACCAGGCTTCGGGAGGCGGCTGGAAAGAGTAGTAATTGGCCAAATAGAGAGATAACATGCCGGAGGAGTTGGTCCGCTAGATACTACATTTTGCCGCACCTGTGGGTCGTCAAATGTACCCTCTCTGGCCGGATAACTCCCCTCGTATCCCTGTATTTTGGCCAAGTTTTGCCATGTTTTCCAGCGATCCGCGGTGCCTAGTAGAGGCTAAGTTAAACACGCGCCACTAGCGTGTTTTGCTGCGGTGTGATGCGTTGCGCGATAAATACTTCTAAATTGTACATACATATAGGGTGCTATACAGATGGTACTGTATGTGCAACCCATATATGTATATATATGGGCCCCGCACACGGCACTAGCGGTGAACTAGACCCGTGAGTCTAGTGTTGACATAACCTCCTGCTGTAAGGATTGTAAAATCCACCTGCTGGTGATTCACCGTGTGTTTGTTCAACATTGCAGTGGGGGGGGGGGCACCGAATTGCATTAAAAATGAATAAATAAAATTAACGGCTCTCAGTGGCCAATGTGCAGTTGTTGTCACATCGGCGCACCAAATCCGTAGTGTGTTTTGGCACACAGTTCGACAGATTAGCCTAAGAGGCTCGGTGGGCGTCACTCCACTGTATAGGTGGGGAAGTCGTGTAAAGTGCTTTTCCCAAAGGGCACAACGTTGGGCCTCTCGGTTCCGGGTACAATACTCTAACCGTTGCGCCACCGAATTGCATGAAACTAATGTAAATCTAGTTAGACATTTCCAATCTGATTATGTCAACATTTTTTTTAGTATTCCAACATGTAATTATAAGACGTGGTGACGGCACACTCAAGTTTTTTTTTCAAATTATATTAATGCCGCCACCAACACAGGGGACAATTCAATACAATACTCATTTTCACCTGAGCGAAGTGTTAAGTGCCTTTCCCAAGGGCACAGGATCGGTGGCATGTCAGGACTCGAACCGGGGACCTCTTGGTTCCGATTCGAGCACTCTGCCGCTACACCACACGACTCCACTACTCATCAATTTGCTTGCGTTCGGCGCTGACACAAGTTTGTTTATTTTTTTCGCGCGAACGCCACCTTTATTTATACACTCGAATTGTGCGAAGCAGTACAACTTTTTAAACGTTTCACTCTGGGAAGTTGTCTTACTCAGCAGCTCGCCTGCGTTTTGGCGCTGACACGAGTTTTTTCTTCGCGCGAACGCGGCAGTTTTAAAGGACTGTTTACTGTCGAGTAGACTCTTCCCAAGGCTGACTGGCGGCAGGGGTAAAAAATAGCGGCTACCGCTTGACACGGATCGCTCGACAGGACAGTAAATCCTGAAACGGGGCTGAGTCAGCGGCGACGTAGGGGCATTGTCATTAGATAGCTTTAAACAATGTCTAGAGTTAGATGTTCAAGGGTTGGTGTAACAAGTTGATCGGTGTAATGTAGCCAGCTGCCGCCGCGCCGCGTGCCTGCGAAGCTGGTGTGTTACGCCGAAGGGCGGTTATACCGGCTATACAGATACAGATACATACCAACCTAGAGACAAATAGCGGCTACCGCTTGACACGGATCGCTCGGCAGGACAGTAAATCGTGAAACAAGGCTTAGTCAGCGGCGACGTGCCAGTTTGTTTACCTCCGTATTAAGTGTCACTAGACCGCCGAGCGATTTGTGTCATACTTGATGCCATGATTGGAATGCGATGCAAGATGACAAGAAATCTGTTAAGAGTTGTTCCTAATCTCCAAGCAGATGTTTAGGTGGCCACAAAAGACAGTATCGAATTTGCCAGGCGGTATCCATGCATTGGCCAGACTGTATCCATTTGGTTGGCAAACGGATACAGTTGTTCCAACACGATGGATTGTTTGAATATAAACTCTGAGCTTTCGACCAGTCACCCTAGTCTTCTTTAATACACTAGGTGAGAACAGTCCCTTGTGTTGAAAAACAAAAGAAAAAACTCTAAACGTCTAACTACCAACACAGATGAACTTTCATGATAGTATGCAAAGATATTATTTATAAGTCAAAAAGTCGGCCTATTCCTATAGCAAGACGCCCTCTTTTTAACGTGACGGTAAAGCTATAGTTTTTTTTTCCACAACCAACATTGTCTCTTACCTCGCTTACGTTTCGGTGTCTAAAAAATCGTAAGCGCGTTAAGCACGGTAAGAGACAATATTGGTTGTTCAAAAGAAAACCCCTCTATTATATATACTATGCTTTCCCAGCCTGATGAAACTATTTTCGGAAGTAGAAGGTAGAGACTCAGGTGAACACAGGTGAGGTGACCTGTACGCGCACACCTGTCCGTGTTACCTGAGTTATGAGATATGCACACCTGCACTGCGCTGTGTCACAGTCTACAAACTACCCTAGCGGACCGGAAACCGCTGTTTCTGGCATGTTTCACGTCGGCTCAGTTTTCGTAACCTTCTTCCTGCTGCCTGACCCTGCTCTCCAAGCAGAGGTTTGGGGTATTTTTTTGGCGTGTTTTTAAGGCTTTTTAGGCAGTTAATTTGGCGTAAAAAAATTCCAGTGCAAAAAAAGAAAGCCCGATAAAAAAGCATAAAAGCACGCCAAAAATGAGCCAAAACCCAAACCTCTGCTTGGAGAGTAGCCTAACCCCGTACCTGATACAAGTCTGGTGCTAAACCGTTATCTTAGCTGGCTGAAGGTTAGCACACATGCATACCTTCTCATGAGGTCTGTATATCTGTAACTGTGTCTGATCATAACTATAACACATTCAGGCACAGAACTAGAAAAAAATCAGGAAAATTGGACCCTCTATGGTCGGCTAACTCCCCTTGGCTAGAAAGCTTTAAACAACAACTGCAATTACTGTAAATGTGCAAAGATTGGGTGCAACAAGTCGTTAGGTGTGATATATCATATAGCTAGCTATATAAGGGTAGTTGTATACCGGCTATATCAATACGGATATACAGATACTTGGCCAGCTACATTCCCTTTTAGGCCGATTTCTACTTTTCAGCCTGACTAACTTAAAATAGCCAGCCGTTGAACATACGTTAGTGATCACGCTAACCCTACACCAGACATAACACTTCTGTAACAGTTTAACAAACCAGGGCTCGAAATTAATTTTTGGGAATAGGTGCACTGTACTGGTGCACCCAACCTAGAAAATTGGGTGCACAAAAAATTTCTTGGGTTCACCATACAAAATGAAATAAGTAGAATGTCAGCAAAAATTAATTATATTTCATTTCTAAAGAAAAGTACTACAACAATGATTTTGTTATCAAACCTTATAATAGCTAGCGAAGTATAGAAGTATGGATTTTTCCAGACAAGTAGTTGCCTGTCTCCTATTATTGTACTGTACCGTACAGACTCCGTGAAAGCAATTAGCCTTCGGGCATGATTTTGCAAATAAAGATATATATATTTATAAATTATTCTGACACTTAGATGTTAAGAATATGCTGTAAACTACTATACACTTAAAATCTTGACATACGTAAACCTACGAAAATATTTGGGTGCACCCACCAAACAAAAAATGGGTGCAAAGCTCCAAATTTGTGTGCACACTTTAAGGTGCACTTGCACCCAGTATTTCGAGCCCTGACTGCTGTAATAGTTTAACAGTCGAAGGGCGTCCCCCTCTTGTAGCCTCCACCAGGCCTTTCTACGGGAATACGGATCGTAGAATTCAGCAAAAAGGAGAGTAAAATTGGCCAAGGCAGTCCGGCCGCGGGGAAGTAGATTCCTTCCTTCTGTGCGGCCAGTCAAACCTACAAGGCGGCCAAACTCCCCTGGCAAATATTCTCCTACATATATAGCCAGCGTAGTTAGTCTGGTAGAGACTACCCCTCTTGTCTTTCTTCACCCCGCACAGAACAGGTTACAAACGCTACAAACTCTGTTTACTTAATACATGTTTACGCCCGCTTCCTAATGAGACGGCGACCCAATCATTAGTAGTGCAAACAAATATCAATGAGCAAGAAGCGCGCTTTGTAATTAAGGTTAGACATCCAGGTAAGGAGACACAAAAGAAAACAGTTACTCAAGCATCTAGACTGAGTTGGTTGAGTAACTGGTGTCTTACTTTAATCCTTTGTTGTATTTCAAGTCTTACGTACACATCATGGATCATTTACCAAGTAAAAGGCCGCACGAGTCCAATTTTGGGCCCTCCGCGGTTTAGCTCGAGTGGAAAGAGGGACTTAGTGAGAGATAGAATCCAGTCTGGCCTTTTGGGGGTACTCTCCAAGCAGAGGTTAGACTTAATTTTTTGACGTGTTATTTTGGCGTTTCTTTTGAGCTATCTTTTTTGTGCTACCCAGCATATTTTTTTCGTCATTCAAAAAAGTGTAGCCTCCGTAGCAGGCTTATAGAACTTCGGCTGTTTTCTGATTAGCCCAGTTCAAAAAACGGAGGTAATTCAACCAGGCCGGCTATGTTGTATATATGCAGTCAGAAAATAGCACATAAAAGACCCTGAAGACCCCCCAAACCCCCAGTTTTTGGCGTGCTGTGGAAGCTACAAACAGCGGCATATTGGATACTACTCGTTCAATTTGATACTTTTTACCCAATTTGATACTATCTAGCCTATTTAAAATTGATACTCTTTAGCCAATTTGATACTGTCTTGCCAATTTGATACTGTGAATTTGATACACCAAAAGATCTGCTTGGAGATTACCTTTCGGGCATGATTTGTATACATGCACGCACACTGACGACAAGGTCTTGTTAACGGTGTCAAACGGAAAGATTTCGAAAGGCTTGCTGGCCTTGCCTAAAGCCACGGCATGGCTCGAAATGCATTTATGGGAGTAGGTGCACTGGTGCACCCAAGGTAAAAAATCGTGAGCACAAAATTTTTGGGGTGCACTATTTGAGATAAAACTAGTAGAATGTCAGCAAAACTAATTATGTTCAGTTCGAAGGAGAAGTAGTACAACAATGATTGTAGCATTTAGAATTAGTACTTAGAATACTACTACACATTTAACATCATTACATACCTAAACCCGCGAAAATATTTGGGTGCACTGGTGCACCCACAGAACAGAAATGGGTGCACAGTATTTCCAGCCCTGCACGGCGACTATAAAGCGAGCCGAAAAAGGTTAGCAGAAAGAGCAGGAAACCGACCCCACTTCCCTCCCTTCCCTCCACATGTACATACCTCAGGGTCCACTGCCGCCGCCACAGCCGCCAACCAGCCGACTAACACCCAGCCCGCTACAGCCTGGCCTCCGCTAACCTGCATCGCCTTTTCCAGTCTCCTCCCTGATCCTTGAGAAATAAAACAACAGTCCACACAACAGTCCACACAAGAGTCCGCTGTCTTGTATGCATAGGATGCAGATTGTCCTCCAAAACCTTGTATCGTTTTTCTCTGTCCCTGGACAGTTATAGGCTACATGTAATCCACAGCAAGAGCTCAGTCTGTAGGCTATTCCGCTGACTTGCAAGTGTAAACTAAAAATCTCAGTCTCCTCCCAAATCACTGAAAGACGCTGCAATTATTCACGACAGAGTCCAGTCAGAGACACCACGCGGCGGACAGTGTCACGGTCCTGACAACGTGAAACTGAAGCGCGTCAGTGTTTGAAGTGACCGGCGATTGACGCGTCCTTGTCCCAGCCAAGGCCGGCAGCAAGTCCTACTAAAAGTACCGAACGTTCGATCGAACACACATGGAACCTTCGAACACACGGAACCTTCGAACGCGAGGGAGACTTCGATCGAACACGCATAGAACTTTCGAACACGGTGAATATAGAACCTTCGAACACTCGGATAGAACCGTCGAATATTCGAACACGCCGAACCTTCGATCGAAGACGGAGCGTTGGATGGAACAGGTGCCGAGTTACACGTACGTCTGAAGCTGCCGCCAGTGCTAACACAGTGTGGATACAGGAAACCCGCTGTAACCACTACTCACAACATCGTCTGGCTGTATAGTGTTAAACCCCGGCGAAGTCTGTATGTACAGTATATAGTGTACACACACGCGCGCGCGTAGACTGACTTTGTAGTCCCGGCTAGCGTACTCGGTGTTCGGTTCGGTACGCTTGCCGTACACAATGCGGCGTGGCGGGCTAACTTTCGGCAGGAAGGAAACACGAGAGTTCGGCAGACAGAAGAACGCCAGGCCGGCGCGTCTCCGCTCCAAGGCGAGCTTTGTTGTGACAAGCCTGCCGGCCGCGGTGTTGTCTGGTTTCTGGGTGCTTCAGTCCTGTATACCCCTGCTCTGAACCGTAAATACCGGGTCTAGCGCTGAGCTACTTACGCGTAAAGGGAGAGCTTGTTTTGGGGACAGGCGACAGCTTTCACTCAAGGAGTTAAGACGCAGTTGAAGGTTGCGTCTATACATTACCGAGGGCTATTTTTAAATGTACAACACTGTGAGCCTGCAACCACAAGAAGCCATGCAACAGTCGGTACATACAGCTATACGATTATGTAATACCATTTAAGCAGTCTCCTTGATAGTATAGAATTTATCTATTGTCTCTGCCAAGAAAAAAAACAAAAGAGATAAACTATAAAATTAAACAAAGCTGTTAAGAGTTCGAAACTTAAGCTTGTGATACTTCTTTCTCATAACAACGGACACTTCAGAAGTAAATGTTACCGAAAACATAACCCCACAGCTATAGTACAGGTTAAGGTAGTAATGATACTATATCGATGAGTTGCACTGTTGTGCTAGCCTCCACCAGGCCTTTCTACGGGAATACGGATCGTAGAATTCGGCAAAAAAGAGAGTAAAATTGGCCAGGGGAGTCAAACCTACCAGGCGGCCAAACTCCCCTGGCAAATATTCCCCTATATAGCCAGCGTAGTTAGTCTGGTAGAGACTACTGTTGTACATAGACACTCGGGCCGTCTGAAATCTTATCTGAGAAACAAAACTTAATCCCAGTTTAGGTAAAACACGGCTTGTTTAAGAGACGTCAATCAGAGCCTCGGTCGGCTGTGTGTGTTTGTCAGTCAGTGGAACTGTCGACACTTCATCGTAGCCTAAGATTATACACTGGTTTAGTTTATTATTACTTTCGTCTAGAAGGTTAGTTTTGGGTCTGCTTGTCTTTCTCTTTCTGTCAGTGTGTGTGTGTCACGGTGTGTGTCCGTGTGTTTGTGTGTGTGTGTGCGTGTGTGTTTGGGTGTGTGTGTGTTTGTGTGTGTGTTTGGGTGTGTGTGTGTGAGTGTGAGTGTGTGTGTGTGTGTGTGTGTGAGTGAGTGTGTGTGTGTGTGTGGGGGGGTGTATGTGTTTGTGTGTGTGTGTGTGTGTGCGCGTGTCTGTGTGTGCGTGCGTGTGTCTGTGGACAGCATAATTGAGAAGTTGTGAATGGATCTCTATATATCACTGACATGCTAGTAGAAATGACTACATGTACCACTAGTTTCTCTTGTTCTTTCTCGCCTATAAGTTTACTTTTGCCCTCCCCCCATCTCTCTTCACTTCTCTCAATTCACTTCACCGCCTTAAGCAAGAAGGTAGCACAAAGAAACTTAGTCTAGTAGTAGCACCACCAGAGATAGTCTGAGAAACTCAGGAAGACCCAAAGATAACCTCCAGCCGGTTCCCCAGCTCTGAAATCAGCCTGTGGCCTTGTCCCCCCGACGACCAGGTCGGTCGAGGGATTAGGTAGGTAGGTAGGTAGGCGTCTTTATCCTCACCTTGGAGAGAATCGCCGTCTCCTGAGGGGTAAAACGGTACAAGGTGGTCATTATTGGGATTAAATCACCGTCTCGTTCCCAGGGTAGGCTCCGCGTCAGTCAAGGTCGACCTGATGAACCACTGACAGCTAGGGGTCAGGGGTCACGCTCCCATCTTAGAGGTAAATTCAGGACACCTTGAGAAGACTTGAAGACCTATGCTAGATCTATGTAAGGCCATGTTGATTTGATTATATGGATGACATCCGCGCGCGCATGAATTTTCGGCCGTTAAAAAACAAACGTTTTTAACCACATTGTAAATCGTACAAAACAGTTGCAAAATAAGCAAACATATACCTTAAGTTGAAAAAAAAGATTGGAAGACGATACCAATGTCGTAGAATGCCAAAATTAGACGAAAAAAACGAAAATGTAAAGAAATGAATGTGAAGAGTAGATTATTCGCCATACCATGTATGTACCATACTCTGTGTCATTTGTTCAACCTTCTTGTCCACGTAGATTTCATAATGAAATCAACTTTTTTGGGGGAAACTTTTTTTATTCGCACGCTCGCATGAGTTTTGGGGTTCCCAGACGATGTCATCCATATAATCAACTCAACATGGCCTAAATAAAGTCCTCGGAGTCAAGGACTGTTGATGTTATAGTGTCACCGCAGCGTCCTGGGTTTAACGTGCGCACTGGCCCGGGGATAGATTAGGATCAGATGCCAAGGACTTGGAACAGAAGTGACGCAACTAAGCAAAAACTTCTTCATCAAATAAACTTTGAAACGCTTTTCAAGAGAGGGAGAGAGAGGGGGAGAGAGGCACTAGCACACACACACACACGCACGCACGCACGCACACACACACACACAGAGAGAGAGAGAGAGAGACGGAGGAATAGAGAGAAATTGAAAGAAAGAGTGATAAAAGTGTGCGTAAGAGAAAGTCATATTCAGTATGAGATACTGTTGATGTTACAGTGTCATCGTGGCGTCATGGCTTTAACGTGCGCAGTGGCCCGGTTACAGTTTAAGATCAGATGCCAAGGACTCGCGGGTTAGGTGATCTTTCTGTTTAACTTTGCTCCCAGGAGTGACTTTAACACTGTGCAAGAGAGAGGGAGAGAGAGAATGAATGAATGAGTGAATGAATGAATAAATGAAAGAAGGAATGAAAGAAAGCCCGATTATAGTTTGAGATCAGATGCCAAGGACTCGTGGTTTAGGTGATCTTCTATTTAACTTTGCTACCAGGGGTGACGCGAATAGGAAAATGTATGGTAAATAACATAAACTTTAAACGTTGTGCAAGAGAGAGAGAGAGAGAGAGAGACTGAGAGGAGGGGAGAGAGAGGAGGAGGGAGAGAGAGACGGGAGAGAGAGACAGAGAGAGAGGCACAAACACACACACACAGATAGAGACGGAGAGAGAGATTGAATGAAAGATATGTAGAGATAAAAAAAGAGCCGTCGCGAGAGAGAAATATGCAGTATGAGAGAAGAATGTAGCTTCACGGAAAAAACGTAACTTACTTATTAGTTCCAGAAGTCGATATTGTAACCTAACAAGCGGAAGGAGGGACTAAGATAAAACCTAGTCAAGTCTCAGACTTAGATTAGAAAGGTCCTTGATACGTCTCGCGTTTTTATCGTGTTTTATCCACGTCAAAATTCGGGTTGACATTGATGGTGTTTTCGCCTATCAGCTTAGCCTCCATAGCATGCCAAAAACTGGGGGTTTTGGGGGGTCTTCAGGGTCTTTGGGAGCTTTTATGTGCTATTTTCTGATTGCATATAGACAACATAGCCAGCCTGGTTGAATTACCCCGTTAATGGGCTAATCAGAAAGCCAAAGACAAGAAGACAACCAAACCCCCAGTTCTATAAGCCTGCTACGGAGGCTAATCAGAAAACAGCCGAAGACCACCAAACCCCCAGTTCTATAAGCCTGCTACGGAGGCTAATTAGAAAACAGCCGAAGACCACCAAACTCCCAGTTCTAAACGCCTGCTACGGAGGCTAATCAGAAAACAGCCGAAGACCACTAAACCCCCAGTTCTATAAGCCTGCTGCGGAGGCTACTACCAGCTCCTGTCCTCACGTGTGAGAGTGATTATATTTGACAGGCTGTGTCACGGGGGTCGGGCAGAAGGTGGGGGCTTCATTCTGCCCGGAAGGAAGTGGCATAACTCATATTTAGCGCCATAACTAGGAACTGAAAGCTTTCTTTTACTGTCTATCAAATTTTGAATCATGGCTCTTTATGTACAGCCATGCTCAGGCACGGTTCTGGATAGTCCGCGCGTATCTAGAACCGTGCCTGGGCGAAATCTGTGTTCTTGGATATGCGCAGACTATCCAGAACCGTGCCTGATTCTAAACCTAACCCATTCAGGTATAGACCTAGATAGGCACGGTTCTGGATACAACAGAGACTATCCAGAACCGTGCCTGATCCTAACCCTGAACCATTCATGCATAGACCTAGATAGGCACAGTTCTGGATACGATAGAGACTATCTAGAACCGTGCCTGATCATAACCCTAACAGATTCATGCATATAGAACTAGATCGAGTAAAACACTTAGCCCGAACCGCCTCCTCACATCTGCTTGACGTGACCTTGATGTAGTAGGCATTCATCGGTCTTGACCTTGATGTAGATGTAGCAGAAAAGACGTTTTGATGATGACAGACTCGGAGACATTCCGGCCTCGTCTGGGCCTAACGAACCCCTAATGTCTACTGGAGACAAAAGGTCATGCTGAAATCAGAGCCAACAGTCTGCATCGTAGATACTGTACAGGGAGGAGACATGGTACAATCTTTTGTAGCATCTTCTGGTGGCTACAAGACAGTATCAAATTAATTGCCACGGCACTAGTATCAAATTGGCTAAACACTATCTAATTGAGTAGACACAGTATCAAATTGCCACGGCAGTATCAAATTGGCCTCGACAATAGTATCAAATAGGCTAGACAGTATCAAATTGTAAAGACAGTATCAAATTGGAAAGACAGTATCAAATTGGAAAGACAGTATCAAATTGCCACGACACTAGTATCAAGTTGCTACGGCAGTATTAAATCGGTAACAAAGTACCATTGTCAGACTATCTTTATCCCATATGTCACCGTTTGGCTGCCGAAAAAAAGAAATATACCTGTCCAAAAAAAACATGGTAAAGTTGACGCTACATATGTACATTTCTTTTGCACGATATCAGCAATCATGTCTGCTTCTCCACAATGTGAGAATCCTAACAAAACAAAACTGTTCGGGGGGTCAGTGATTCTAAGTATTTGCTCTGTATTGAGTGACCTTTGACTTCATTTACATCTATGATTATCTTGACTCACTTAAAAAAGTGGCTGTTTGGCCGTACGAATGAGCGTTTCTCGATGTCTAATAAAGAAACAAGAAGACCCAAGAGCACACATTTGACGCTGACTCATAGCTCTATTCTATTCCAATCAATAATATCCAATACTTTTCTACCCTGGGTGTCGTTTAAGAATTATTGCATGTCAGTATATTTTTGTCACCAATGTTGCTATGACAACGGCAGCATGACGTCACCTGTACCATGTGAATGTCCGCAGCACCAGTAGTGAGACAACAACGATCAGGATGTTGGAAACAAAACCTCCACTCCAACCCGCTCTTCACTTCACAAGGACCTGTTGGAACATTATTTTCAAGTGTGGCATAATCCACCGAAAAAACTCGCCACACTGAAGGGCACTTCAAAGTCGCGAACATTTGTGCGGTCTGTAGCTTTTTTCTGCTACATTTTTTTGTTTCTTTCTTTCTTTCTTGTCGCAGAAGAAAAAGTCCCGAAGTTGTATTTTCTTCTTTCGTCATGTTTACATGATGCAGGTTGTTAGTTGGTGGATTGCTGTCGTGTGTGTCAATCTTGTCGCCAATCCAAAGTCGCTAACAGGTGGGAAAATATATTTGTATCCGTTATGCTTTGTGTATCTAGAGTAAAATAACGCAAGTGGCTTTCTTTGAACTTGCTCTAAAGTCACCACAATGATGTAACTGTCTGAGTCGATCAAATTGATTTGCCACAAAAGTAGCGAACCGTCCGACGCACTTGTGAGTGAATACATGTAGCAATTGCTGTTTGCTACAAGAAACCGCTACACTGTGAGTCTGTAACAATTTCAACAAGGATAACCAAAGGGGTATCATATAACTGTTATTGTTATACATGTAACTGAAAAAACATCCTTATGTCGATTCAGGGTTAATTCTAGCCTTGTGGTACATCAAACATGGATGTAACTTTGAGACTAACTTCGTCTTTTGTTGCATGTAAGGTTGGCAGTTGTGGTGAAGAAATAAAAACAAACAAAAACAGAAGAAAACTGACAAGTTTTTTTCTTGTCTCTCCCCAGACGCAGTGATGGACGTAACGTTAGTGATCGACCCTTTTATAGAAGAGTATAACGACAGGTAAGGACGACACGGTATCTTCATTTACATCCCCTTTCCACCAAACCGCTAAGCTCCATTCAGCGGCACAAAATCTAACTATGATTCAATGAACTTCATTGATGAATTATTTGTGTCTTTTGTGTTTTTTTGTCTATGAAGCCATAGCTTCACATTCAATCTCTTCATAATTCGGAATCTTGAAATACTGACAGAGAAATTATCTCTTGTGTCACAGCTTCCTCATTTATTCACCCACTCACTCATTCACTCAATCCCTCTTTCCTTTCCTAGGACCTATCTAAAGTGCGTAACGGGCGAGGAGGCGTATGACATCAATTTTGGGCCAGTGGTGAGTATTTTTATAAAGGTTTTCATAGCTTCATTGGTTAAAGAGATTTAATGTTACGTAATATAAGCATATTGCTTGCGTTCGTCACTACTATGTATTGTATTGTTTGCATAAGAAAAATGTTACATCGAACTGTAAGCGTTATTTAAATCTACGAGAGTATCTAACGTTACAGAAGTTAATAATATTAAGTTATATTTCCCTACTGATATATAACTTGCTACTTGGTGGTAACGGGTTCCACTGGGCACAGCTTAAATGTGGGTACTTTTTTTTTTATAAAGCCATCTATCAATGTCTAAAACCCAAATTATTGTGGTCATTCCCTTAAGTTCTTTTCAAGTCTCTACATGTAACTTTAGTTCGACTATATTTCACCAGCTGTATTAGTTTAACCTCATTGACTGAATTCTCGAAGCTTTTAAAGCCGTAAGTCCCCATTTCAACCCCAGGAAATGCGCCCAGTCTTACCATAATTGGAAAGGCCGCCTTATTTCTTATCGGTCGTTTCCGCACAAAAATGTGCTCGTGACCTTGAGATGATGATGACCTTGGTAGAAAGAAATCCAAGATGGCGGCCTCACCTGAGAACGCGCGCCGGGGAGTTCCCATGGTCCCCTGCGGCGGAAACTTATAGATAACAACGTCTGATACTAGAAGACGGAAGACTGAGGAACCGTGCCACCCTGCGTGCTAACGTCTTAACCTTGAGGCAATGTCTTGACCTTGACCTCTAACAGGCAAATGTGCAAAAGTCACGGGTGTCCCAGTGCTATATGTGATATAGATCACCCTGCACCTGTTGTCTGGGAAATTGAATAAAAGGTTACACAAGGAAATTGTTACTCAAGACACTGGATAGATTTTGAAAACTGTCAGACGTTTCAAGTAGCCATGTCCTCTACTTTTCGTCAGTGACTAACTAAAAGTAACGTTAGTAGATTAAAAGGAAGAAAAAAGAAGACTAAAAGAAGTAGTGGACTAACAAGAAGAAACTTGAAAAGAAGGAACTAACTAAAGAAAAGAACCATGTCTGGGGCAAATCTACGTTCTTGGACACGCGGAGACTCTCCAGAACCATGTCTGATCCACTGTGCTTAATCCTAACACTAACTAATTCTGTCACAGAACTACATGTAGATAGGCACAATTCCCCTGCAGCGTAAACTTATAGATAACGACGTCTATTAGAAGACTGATGCAGTGTGGGAACGTCTTAACCTTGAGGCGACGTCTTGCCCTTGACCTCTGATGAGTTTCCGTCAGAATTTTGGGTATTTTTGCTCCATGAGGGTCACTATACATTGGGATAGTGTGGCTTCAACTCAGTATGTAGATAAATGACTAGAATATTGACTTTGAAAAATCGGGTTTCCGAGCCCTAAAAACTACACAGGATGCCTTTGACCTCGAGGCGCCGTCTTGCCCTTGACCCCCCCCCCCCCAGCTGGAGTCTCAGCAGGAGCAGTTCTACGGGCTGAGCTCTGACCAGGTGGTGGTTGGAGACGTCTGGCCGGAGGGGTACCGCGGCGCCATGTACTGGTTCCGACAGTCGGCAGGGGGCGCTCGTGTCGGAGCCTTCTTCTGTGACGTCACCGGCAGAGGCGGGAAGGAAAGAGTCACGGCGGCCAAGATGAAACCTGGAGGTGGGAGGAAAAATTGTGAAAATGAGAGTAAAAAAAGTGAAGATGAGAGTAAAAGTTGTGAAGATGAGAGAAAAAAAATTGTAAAATGAGTAAAAATTATGAAAATGAGAAAAAAATTGTGAAAATGAGAGTAAAAATTGTGAAGATGAGAGTAAAAATCATGGAAATGAGAGAAAAAAATTGTGAAAATGGGAGACAAAATTGTGAAAATGAGAGATAAAATTGTGAAGATCACAGTAAAAGTTGTGAAGATGAGAGTAAACATTGTGAAGATGAGAGTAAATATTGTGAAAATGAGAGGAAAAATTGTGTAAATGAGAGTGAAAGTTTCCGTGCTGTGATTCGAGACCAAGTTGAACACAGGGTGAAGTATTTAAAGCAGGAGAAATACCAAAAACCGGTTTCAGGGCGGCATTAGAACATTTCAAAAATAAATTTTCTAGTCATTTTTTCACGTAATACCGACACGATTACTCTGGGATTGCGTATGAAAAGAATTACGAGAATTGAAACATATTTTAACAGACGTTAACATAATACAAAGTTTATGACTCTAACACTAATGACCCTCTCCTCAGCGCCCATCCAGCCCCGGGTCCTGACCACCACAGTGTCAGCTGGCGAGTCCGTCACCTTAAACATGACGTCCTCCTCAGAACCTGCAGACAGGATAGAGTGGAGAAAGGACGGGGACGTGCTTACTGGAGCTGGTAAGGAAAGTCCCCAGTCTGTCTAATAAGCACTTGGAATATTAGGAGGCTTGGTTTCGGGTTGATACGCACTCACTGCAACACTAATCGCTACTTGTTGTTGTCGTTGTCCTAATGTTTAACGTCTAATATCTCGCTAGACGTGGTGCAGGTTTACGTTTGGTTCAGTTCAGAGTCAATTGTCTCTCTAGGTATTTAACAGTGCTGTAAATCATTCATAAACCGCTAGAGGGCGCCACAAGTAGGCAAGAGCAGACTATTAAACTTCATTCGATATCCTCTTAAATATATTTATGAGGCCAGATCTTCTTTCACAATGACTGTCATATTTTCAGTACCTTATCTTGGTGATGATAATTAACAACACAATTAAAAAAACTCTTCTTCAAACTAATACCTTATTAACGTCTTGAAGTTTCCCTTGTACTTGCAGACGCGCTGCAGTTCAGACTAGAAGACGTGCGAGTAGAAGACTCAGGGATTTACGAGACGTATTACGTCACGAACCAGACGGTGGGAGGGGGGCGCGCAAGGGCCGAGCAGGCCATCATGAGATTACTAGTCAGAGGTAAGTTTTTTTTAATTTTTTTTTTAAATTTTATTAAGAATTACCTGGTGTTCTTTAAAAATGGCTGTACACACTGTACATAGTTTTCATCCAGTAAATTTTGGTTGTAGACATGAAAACAGTGTCTTGTTTCTTCTGCCATATCAAACAAATAAGACCGGCTGTGGTAACTGGTGCTGTGGCAGACACCCTGTGGTGTTGGGTTACATTATGTAGCAAGTGGCAGGACAGAGTTGGAGGGGCTGGTCACTGAACATAAAATTTTAAAGCTTTCAGAGGGCATCCACCATCTTTCCTCAGCTACTGAAGGGGAGTAGTTTGTTACAGCTAGACCATATGAAAGTAAACATTGCTTTGCAAATGTTACTTTGATTCCTAGTTTCATTTTTCTTTCCTCCCAGCGTGTCCTGTAGGGCTGTGGGGAGATGAGTGCAGTATGAAATGCCCAACGTGTTTTAACGGCGGAGTGTGTCACCCCAGGACAGGTGTGTGTGTCTGTCCACCCGGATTCAACGGACCCATCTGTGAAAAAGGTAGTAATGCTACGTTGGGATAATGCTCCAAATCATTTTGTCAAAATATGCCTTTCCCTGTAACTCCCAACTATGATATCAGTTCTTACAGTTAAGTGCCTCAACAACTTGTCCATTGCATGATCCAATGAATATGTGGTGCTGGTAAGTCTCACAAGTTGCACAACAATTGTATTGGTGACAATGTATGGTAGTAATTAATCTCCAAGCAGTTCCATGGTAATTAATCTGGCCAATTTGATACTCGTTTACCACCCTAGGATCTGCTTAGAGATTAGGTAGTAATTACGTTGGGAAAATTTAAACTTTTTAAATTCTTAAACTTGAGTGCGCCACTAAGTATGTCTGCTGTCATTTGTATGCTCAATCAAGATGTGGTGAATCTCATCTAATGATAGATGTAACATTACACAACAACTTCATCTGTGAGAATATATCGCAATCCTCATAAAACATAACTTTATTGCATAACAGTTGTACAGGATACAAAGTATGGCATCTAGTAGTAACCACACTTTCATAAGGCTAACCTAACTAATACAAGAGTGGGTGCCTAGTAAATGACAGGTATGAACTTTTACAATTATTGGAGGAGTTTTTAATGTCTATAGAGTATTTAAATAATATTATGTAACATAAGTCCCATCACCCCCCCCCCAGCGTGTGGTTCTAACCGGTACGGTAAGCAGTGTAACCTGAGATGCCACCTGGACTTCTCCGGCCAGACGGACCCTCCTGACGGCTGTGCACACCTGACGTTCTGTCTACCTGACCCGTACGGCTGCTCGTGTGCACCTGGGTTCACTGGACTCAAGTGTGCAGAAGGTACGCACCTTATAAGGCCGTTGTTATCATATAAGGCCATTATTACCATATAAGGCCATTATTACCATATAAGGTCATTATTACCATATAAGTCCGTTATTACCATATAAGGTCATTATAGAAGGTAGGCAACATATAAGATTGTTATTACCATATAAGGCCATTATTACCATGTAAGGCTATTATTACCATATAAGGCTATTATTACCATATAAGGTCATTATTACCATATAAGGTCATTACCATATAAGGCCATAACTATATAAGGTAGGGTGATGGAGGCACCTAAACTGACTTGATAGACGTCCAGATTATCTAAAGTTAAATCATTTCTTTTTTCTTGTTTTATCGACATCCAGGTTTAGACATCCAGGTGCAACATTATGTAATACTAAATCAATAAATCAAGCACTGTCTTTCTCCGTTAAAAGATTGTTGAGCAGCAAAAGTTTACATTTGCCGTGTGTTTTTCCAGCGTGTAGTCCCGGTACATTCGGGGCGGGCTGCAGCCTGACGTGTCACTGTGAGGGTGGTGTGAGCTGTAACCGCTTTACCGGCGTCTGTCCCGCCGACTGTGCGCCTGGGTACCTGGGAACTAACTGCCAGATAGGTGCGTTTGTTTGTTTGTTTGTTTGTGTGTGGCCTGACGTGTCACTGTGAGGGTGGTGTGAGCTGTAACCGCTTCACCGGCGTCTGTCCTGCCGACTGTGCTCCTGGGTACCTGGGAACTAACTGCCAGATAGGTGCGTTTGTTTGTTTGTTTGTTTTTCTTGCGACTGTGCTCCTGGGTACTTGGTGACTAACTGTCAGATATGTGCGTTTGTTTGTTTGTTTGTTTGTTTGTCCTGCCGACTGTGCAGCTGGGTACCTGAGGACTAACTGTCAGATAGGTGCCTTTGTTTGTTTGTTTGTTTTTCTTGCGACTGTGCTCCTGGGTACCTGGTGACTAACTGTCAGATAGGTGCGTTTGTTTGTTTGTTTGTTCGTTTACAGTGTCCCGGATTCTTCTGCCACTGGTAGCAGGGTTCACAGTTCCTTGCATTTCTGGCTAGACGTTTTCTGTCCTTGGGAAGTGCACTAAGTCTTTAGATGACTTTCCTTGCTCCACTCAAATGTAAAATGGGTACCTGACTTTTGTTGGTGAGGTAAAAGGCATTGGAAGATTAGGGTATGAGCTTTGACTTCCAATACCATGCCCTAGACACAGTGGACTAACAACCCACTGCCCCTACAGCCTGGAAAACAGCTTTGGGACTACCTTTACCTTTACCTTAACCATGAATTAATCATAATTGATTCCTTCTTCCACAGAGTGCAAGGCTGGTACGTACGGTCTGCACTGTGACGGGCGGTGTAACTGCCACGGCGGCGTCACATGTAACATCGTGGACGGGTCCTGTCCAGAGGGCTGTCCGGAGGGGTACATGGGACCGGACTGTCAGGGTAGGGAATGGTCTTTAATACTAACCTCTCTACCAAAACTTCTATGAAATGCAAAAGGAAGATTGTGATATTGATGTAGCCTCTACCAGGCTCCGCGGATCTCTCGAAAAATAGTAGAAATTGGCCGAAATAAAGGGATAGTATACCAGAGAAGATCTAGGGCCATAGAAGCTCCAATTTGCGACCCACGGGTCTGGTATACTATCCCTTTATTTCGGCCAATTTCTACTATTTTTCGAGCGATCCGCGGAGCCTGGTAGAGGCTAATATTGATGTTAGTTAAGAAATGACTGCCGTACCCATGTCAGTATGGAGGAACTTCTCATTGATGATTCATGGTCCAATATTCGTTACAAAGGACCATTGAAAACAAGATTGTCAGGTTGATTATTATGGTGCTAATAGCAGTCAAATCTTTCTGTAATATCTGCATCAGACTTATACTAGTATATCTAAACTCTAGAAGAATGGTTACTTGTGTTGAGCCGAGAGGTTCAGTACTCCATGCCAGTACACTGGGACCTACCGATATTCATTGTACGGTCATTCATCTAAACATTTTAATCCCTTAGTCTTATATCATTTTGCCCAGACGATGTGAAAGCTAGTTTTCTGTACCATTCTTGATTTTCTGTTCTTTGTTAAACGCTAAATTTCCTTTATGTCCAAGCATCTCTCCCAAAGTGTTCAGATTTCTTAGTATTTTCATGAAAATTTGCTGATTTTTTTTTTTGGGGGGGGAGGGGGAGGGGCGACATCATCCAATTAGGGAGCACTTCTCCCCTAAAATGTCTGGGGAGACCCTGTGTGTGTTTACCTAGTATGTTTTTCCATTGTAAGACAAATGTCACATGCCCATGTTGAGCCCCTTTAGAACAGAACGGCTGCCTCTCCCACCCTTGTATGTACAGCGGCAAAACCTGGCAGCATTAAATCATGACCCATCATTCATAATACGACTCAAAATGTAACTGTTACAGTTCTACTAACAAAGCGTTCTAACTTGTAATGTATGTACCTAGTCTCTACCAGACTAACTTGGCTGGCTATGTACAGGAGAATATTTGCCAGAGAATATTTATCTGTACATTTTTTTCACGGTTTTCGTCGGATTTTTAAACACCGTTGCATCATAATTTTGCCTGTTGCAGACGACATCTTTTCTGACATAACATTTGGAAACTACAGACGGGATGCTAACCTTATATATGCCAATACAACATGCTTCTTGTTGTTTTTACAATCATTTGTACATGTTGAGCCCCTTTAGAAGAGAATGGCTGCCTGTCCCACCCGTGTATGTACGGTGGAACCTGCCATCCCATCGGCCAGGACCGGTACTACTGCAGGTGTACTGACGGTTACATCTCCAGGGACTGTCATCCTGGTTAGTTATCGTTCCTTTTTCCTTCTTTCCTTCCTTCCTTCCTTCCTTCCTTTCCTGCCATCCCATCGGCCAGGCACGCTACTACTGCAGGTGCACTGACGGATACATCTCCAGGGACTGCGATCCTGGTCAGTTATCGTTCCTTTTTCCTTCTTTCCTTTCCTGCCACCCCATGGACTTTACGGCAGATGGACACTACCACTGGTAGTGTCCATCTGCCTAGGTCCATTATCACTCGCAGGGGTTACAAAAGTGTAATTTATCTGTCCAATTTGGTTACGACTTTGTCAGCAAAAGATCTGCTTATTTTAAGGGGTCAGATTTCATTTCATGGCCTGGCTTGAAAGAAAGGCTGTCAGAAAAGGTAGGACTGAGGAAGTTATTTCCTCCTTGGTAGAACCATGAAGTTAGATGGTAGAACTCCTTAAACACTGCTAAACTGTAATGAGCTGTGTAAATACTTTCATCAGGTTGGAAGATACTTAGGGTATAGAATTTTCTTCTTACACAACCAGTAAAGGTTCTAACCTGCTTACTTTGGCGTTAAATAGCGGCGAGTTGCAGTCAAAAGCTCCGAGGAAGGTGTCTGATAAACACCGAAACGTAAGCAAGGTGAGAAACTTACTGGTTGTGTAAGAAGAAAATTCTATACCCTAAGCTGTGTAGGCTACTCATAACTACATAGTAGCACGGTGTTAACAAAACACCCTTTACCCTACAGATGAGATCCGCCCGCCGCGCAGGCCTGACCCCTGCTCCGGGCGGCCATGTTGGAACGCCGGCGTGTGCGTGCCGGACGGAACGACCTTCAGCTGCGTCTGCAGGCACGGTTTCCATGGAAACGTCTGTCAGTTTGTCGTCCCAACGCCTGCTCCTACAGGTGAGTTTTTTTTTTTATATTCCAACATATAATCACCCGACGTGGTGACGGCACACTCAAGTTTTGTCAACTTATATTAATGCCGCCACCAACACAGGGGACAATACAATACTCATTTTCACCTGAGCGAAGTGAGGAAAGTCGTGTAAAGTGCCTTTCACAAGGCACAAGATTGGTGGCATGTCAGGACTCGAACCTGGGTGAGTGTTGTTATTGCCATAGAAATAGTTACTACGATGATGTGTGTCAGACTGTCGTCCCAAGCCCTGCTCCAACAGGTGAGTGGCAGGAAACTCATGTAGTCAGTTACCATTATGCATGCCACAGTAGTGACCTAAGGCATGTTTGAGCTCCAACAGGTGGTTGCCTTGGGTTATAGCCATAGAAATGGCTATAACCCAAGGCAACCACCTCAACCCTGCTCCTACAGGTGGGTGGCGGAAAGTTACTGCTGTGGTCATAGAAATGGTTACCATGGCGACAGACGTCTGGTTCAGGTCAATGACCTTATTTGTTTGGAGAAGAAGAAGAGGAAGAAGAAACAGAGCAAAAGACAAATAATGATGTTTTCCTTCTGTGAAGGTTAACATAACTACTACTACAAATTGATTTAGCAGCTCTTGTTGTTCCAGACCCCCCCGCGGCCCAGCCATCCTTCCTCCTGTACCGAGTGTTGGTCCCAGCCGCCGTGTCTGTTCTGGTGGGGGTCATCTTCGTCACTGTCTTAAGCTGCTGCAGCGACAAGACGGACTTCAAGGTATAACTTCCCGTTTCATGAAAGGTTTACATAGGACTGAATGTATTTCATAAACGTAAACATTTTGATAAATATGAGGCAGGTTTGACATTTGGTCTCATAGCTGCCAGAAAAAGTAGAATTTCTAATCCTGTATGATTATGATCCATGTTCTTTGTGTTGTACAATGGGCTATTGTTTTGTATCATACTGTATAGTACACTTTAGGTGGGCCTGGACTATGATGTTGTATTCTAAGTGTGTGATCAAATAAACCATCTCTCTCAATCTCTTTCTCTCTCTCATTCTCCCTTTCTCCCTCCATCTCTCTCTCCCTCTTTCCCTTTCCCCCTCTCACCCCCTCCCTTCCTCCCTCTTTCTCTCCCTACCTTTGTCTCCCTCTCTCCCTCCCTTTCTCTCCCTCTCTCTCTCCCTCCCTGCCTCTCTCTCACTCTTTCAGGTTGAACCAGAGGAGAAAGTAGAACGTTTTGCTACAAGCGAAGAAGACGACGAAGACGATGACGAGTGTTACGAATTTGACGATGAAGGCCTCGGACCCTCCGTGGAAAACAGCTTCGTCATAGTCAATAACGAGGTAGAAAACTGTGTGGAATCCGGCGCGGCGTCACCTAGCGAGCCTCCTCTGGTACTACAGCAGAAGGCCATGTACATGCCGCCCAGAAATACACAGTCGGAGAGACGGTGGTTGGCGCAGATCAAGAAAGTAGCGCTAAAACTGAGACGAAATAGATCTTTAGAAAGGTTCTAACCTTTGCAATATTAAATCATAGAATTGTATCCGATGTATCTGTTTTTTTATATATAACATGAAATGAAGAAGTTGTTCCATTTTAGGACAGAAAAGAGGGAAAGATTACATAGTTGGAGCAGATTAAGAAATACCACTTCAACTGAGACGGACATAGAAAGTTTATTGCAAATCCATGCCCGAGGGCTAATTGCAAGAACATGGTAACAACAATAAACAGTAAAAATGATAACGAGTAATGCTAATGCTACTTTATATATACATTTGTAGTTATTGTTGGGTTTGATTTCTTTTCCGCGTGCAGTGGAGTATGAAATGGCCGACATTTTGCGAGATATAGATGCATTAATTTTTTTTACAAACATTTAACGTTACACACAGCTAGATGTAGATTAACATATATATATATAGATAGATAGATAGATAAAAGTCACAAGAACATGACTGTTGGGATATTACTACAATGTATGTGCCTAACTGACTGATTTGCAAGATATGATACGCAGCAATGTACCGGGTTAAATAATACTAGTAGGTGTTAGGGTGGACTTATTTACTTTTGTGAGATGTGACTATATATATCCCATTTCATCAGACGGTTTCTGCAATAAATAAATGCATTGTGAGCAGAGTGATTGGAGTTTGTGCTTGGTTTATTTTTCTCTAATATGGCCCAGTACCAGAGTTAGCCAGCCAACAAGCTAACTGGTGGTTTTAACTACAAATTATGTACATAATTATGAACCGCTAAAGACAAAAACAAAAGCTAAACAAAGCAAAAATTTAGGTCGTACATTATGCGACTCTCTCATTGGTCGAGCCGCTAATCGCCACGTTCTTGGTTGAACTGCTTGGTTCCAAAACTCTTTTTAGTGTCACCTCAGACATTAAAAAAAGTTCATCATATGCCTTCTAGATCTACTATCATGTTTACCTTCAAAGAAGGAATACATACAATTGTTTTTTCTCTGTGTCTTCTATTCCTATAGAAAAAGGTCATTGACCTGGACCAGACGGCTGTCATCATGGTAACTGTTGTTGTAGCAAATACCTTGTTGTGTTGGGTTACATTATGTAGCAAGTAGCAGGACAGAATAGTGTCACCCTGAATATTAATGTCTTTAATAATAAACAGAGCAATAGTTTGTTAGGCTATACCACGTAAGGGTAAGCGCAATGTATCTCCGTTGCAAATGTTACTTTTCTAGTCAATGTATGTATATATAATGTATAATGATTAATTTGTTGATATACACTGTTATGATGTTGCCATGGCAATAGTTATATAAATGTCTTAAGTGTTTGATCTTGAGTTTAACCTACTCCCGAAGTGGGTCAAGATGAGTCATGAGGTTATCGATCCATTTTTATCGATTATTTGTTAGTTATTGATTGATGACGTACTCATCAGCGTGGACAAAAGGTGGCCTTTGATACCTCAATACGTCACGCACGCTTACGCACGTAACGAGCGCGCTGATTGGTCCAAACAGGCGTCAGAAGCTTTCATCTGCCAATGAGAGCCCTTGAGACCGGATGATCACGGCACAGCCTTGTGTGTCACAGAAATCTACGACGTCTAATATAGAAAAAAAGCCGTGATATTTGGCGGATTGTTGTGTTAGTAACGCCACGTGGGGTATATTATATTACAGTCAGTTGACATTGACGGATAACTAGTACCACATCATTGTGCTTAACTCTTGACACATTGTGCTTTTATCAGCAGATTTGGGAAATGAAGTAAATGGTAAAACTCGTGTATCCTTGCTTTTATATAGTTCCTCATACTACTATAGTATTTCTAACACATTGTACTGAACCATCCCATAAAACAAGTTGAACAGGCATGGATTTTGGTACGTTTATGATTAACAAAAAACCGTTCATTTTCTCTTGTGCTCAGTGCTACATCTTCAAGAGTCGGGAATGTTGGGATGATGCAAATATATATATGGAATTGTCAGTTTCAACCAAAGGAATGGTCAATTCTCAATGTTTTAGCATTTTACTGTGTTTTGACAGAATTTATCGCAATTTTAAGTTGTACATGTCCGTCTTAGGTAACGTTTTGAAAAGACAGTTCGTCTTTGAGACGAAATAAAACTTGATAGCTTAAAGGGATTAAAAAGTCGCTTGAAACTAGAGTAACTACAGGGAATTAAAACTATACCCATAAGACTAGCATAATTTTAAGCCCCGTAGAATTTTCTAAACTTCAACAAGAATAGCCTCCACAACCCAAGGTGCGTAGGTCCAACCAAGGCCCAGTTGTTTTCGCGAGCTCGTCCAAGCGAGAACAAGTCCTCTCCATCGCCCGGAGCTGTCCCCGCCCTCCACAATCCTGGAGCACCCTCCAGACGCGGATACTGACACGAATCACTGCGCACGGTTTAAGTACTGCCCACTTCTGCCCCGCGCAATCGCTAGATGACTCAGAGAGCCAGGCCCTTTTAGAGCCCGGTGATAGCGGCTAGCCAGTCACCCACGTCCCGGCACACTCACTCACTCACGCGGGTACACACAAAATGGCGGTGATGTCTTGGTCTTCTTTCCTTCTACTCACATCTTCTGTGCTGCATTTAGCAGGTAACGTGAAGTTTTTTTTCTCGTTCTTTTAAAACGTTCTTATAGCATTTTTTTCTGTTCGATTTTTTTTATCTTATTAGAGTGGGGTTGGGTATAATGAGCCTCGCAAAATGGCGGCGTTGTCTTGGCCTTCATTCCTTCTACTAACATCTTGTATGCTGCATTTCGCAGGTAACGTGAAGTTTTGTTTTCGTCTTTTAAAACGTTCTTATAGCATTTTTTTTTCTGTTCGATTTTTTTTATCTTATTAGAGTGGGGTTGGGTATAATGAGCCTCGCAAAATGGCGGCGTTGTCTTGGCCTTCATTCCTTCTACTAACATCTTGTGTGCTGCATTTCGCCGGTAACGTTAAGCTTTTTTTATTTCGTCTTTTGAAAGGTTCTTGTAGATTTTTTCTGTTCGATTTTTTGATCTGGTTAGGTTGAGAGGGATCGGATTTAATGAGAGACGCAAACAAGGTCATCGTGTAAGTGGATTTCCGTTCCACTGGGAAAACAACTTGAGAACATGGTACAAAAGGAACGATTGCGTGGATTTCTGTAAGCATTTCTCGAAATCTACGGATTTGTAGTCGCGTTTTAAAGGATATATTCGGATATTTTGCATTCTGGTCACCGTTAAAACGTGTCTTGTGGCGAAACCTCGTAGCTAGTTCCTTTCAGAACAAACTACAACAAATTCCGTCTTATATGTAGTTATGGCTCAACGCAAAATGTGTCAAATCGTTGGTGACCAAAACTAGGATACAGAAAAGAGCAAATTTTCTAATAGTCTGTGATATGATCGCACATTTATAAGACAGATATAAACGGCAATGAGGCGGATTTGAAGGCATTCGATACGCTCTTTGCTTCCTCGAGTGGATAGCAGCCACCTGCAATAGTTAACGACGAAAAAACTACGAAATCTCATTTCTCTACTTTATGAAAAAAAATACATAGCTATGCAGTGATATTTCTAACATAAAATGTTGCGTATACAGGTTTGTTACTGTAGGTTTTTGATACATATCAGTGTTTTTCTTGGTTTGTAGTATACATAATCCTTTTAACATGAAATTCCATATCACCAAAGTCCGTTGCCATAACAAATCAAACGATGAAAAATATACAAAGTTAAGCATTCATAATTCTTGATTAAAATGTTGCGTATTTGATTTGGCTACTATAGCTTTTTGAGACATGTGTGAGCTTCATTTTGTTAGTAGTATACATAACTCTTTTCACATGCGTTTCTGAACTTAGATATCAGCAAGGTCCGTTGCCATACCAAACCACACGATAAAAAATATACATAGTTAAGCATTGATATTTCTTGATTAAAATGTTGCGTACGCGTATTCAAGTTTGTTACTGTAGTTTTCCGAGCTTCATTTAGTAGGTAGTATACATAACTCTTTTAACATGCGTTTCTGAACTTCAATATCACCAGGGCCCGTTGCCATAACAAACCGTACATATACCGCGTGATTCCAATCGACAAAAACCACTCGAGTTCTTGATGTTGATGCTTGTCTGTAGTGAGTTAAGGGCTCTTGAGCTACCTCGCGATCTCTTGCGGGAGGGGCATGAGTGCCGCGGTGTGATTTTTGTTGTAACGAGTTATTTCTGGTCGCCCGCTCTTGAAAAGTAGGAGAATGTAGTATCCAGAACCATGCATACAAGCATGCATATTAGGTTCTGCATACAACATATCTCTAGGTTCTGGATAGTCCCCACGTACCCAAAACCGTGCCTGGGGCAAATCTACGTTCTTAGATACGCGTAGACTATCTAGAACCATTCCCGATCCTAACCCATTCAGACATGGAACGAGTTATTTCTGGTCACCCGCTCTTGAAAAGTAGGAGAATGTAGTATCCAGAACCGTGCTCTCTCCAGAACCATGCTCATGCCTAGGTCACATTTCCAAACCGGGTTGTTTGTATGAACGAAAAACTAACAATTGATATCAAGAATATACAGAAATGGTGCCCATGATTATTATCGAAAACTTTCCTGTGTTTCCTTGTCTTTTATATCGTACTTTTCGTTCCGGGTCCCCGTTTGGAAATGTGACCTCAGCATAGGTACGGATCTGGATAGTCCACGCGACCGTGCCTGGGGAAAATCTATGTTCTTAGATACGCGTAGACTATCCAGAACCCTTCCCGATCCTAACCCATTCAGACATGGAACGAGCTATTTCTGGTCACCTGCTCTTGAAATGTAGGAGAATGTTGCATCCAGAACCGTGCTCTATCCAGAACCATGCTCAGGTACGGTTCTGGATAGTCCACGCGTATCCAAAACCGTGCCTGGGGCAAATCTACGTTCTTAGATACGCGTAGACTATCCAGAACCCTTCCCGATCCTAACCCATTCCGACATAGAACGAGTTTTTTCTGGTCACCCGCTCTTGAAAATGTTGTACTAGTATCTAGAACCGTGCTTTATTCAGAACCATGCTCAGGTATAGTTCTGGATAGTCCACGCGTATCCAGAACCGTGCCTGGGGCAAATCTACGTTCTTGGATACGCAGAGACTATCTAGATCCTAACCCATTCAGACATAGAACCAGACAGGCACGGTTCTGAACACAATACACACAAGTGATTTTTGGACACCCGCTCTTGACAAAGAGGAGGACGTAAAATCACAGGTGGCACCGCGAAACCACTTGTGCAGACAATGGCGTTTTAGGATATTTAAGTTGAAACGGATTTAGGTTTAGTCATTTCTTTATGTCTAGAAACATCCGAGCACTTAAATATGTGAAAGGGTTCAACCAAATGCAGAAACCAGACTTTTTCTTGTTATACCGTCAAGTGCCTTTCGTAACAGGATTAAGCTGTTATTTACAGCATTAGACTAAGTATGATATCACAAATACAGGCTTAAAACAAACGTTTATGTCGAATCTTAATCCTTTTTGTTCTATTAACTGTTAAATATTTTTGACAAAATATAGATTTGGCTTGAATTCTTGTTTCCAATACAAAAATAGACGTACCAAAATTTTCAACTGTTGAACTCCAGTCTTTGTCAAAGATCAATCCATCGCTTCTGTTCAAACCTGGTTTTTAATTGATGTAGATTTGATTTAACTGATTCATTACAGAATGAATTTTACCAACACGGATAAACTTTCAAGCTTTCTAAATTCAATTTGTGATGTTAAGATTGGCTTTTGTGTTCTGTTCTACTGTTCTGATTTTGAATTGATATTGATATGGTTTGAATGATTCATTTCAGAATATCGTTTACTAACACCAATGAATTTTCACTTTGAGATGTCTAGATTGGTTTTTGAGTTCTGTTCTACTGTTTTTCCCAGCCTCCTACCCTGACCTGGTGCTCGTGAACTGGTTCCCATACTACCTTTTCCTGTGTGTGTCTTACATTTCTGATATCTGATTTCTTATGTTTGGTTTGGTCTTTTCCCACGATCATGATCAGCCCCCTACCCTGACCTGGTGCTCGTGAACCGGTTCCCGTATGTACAGGATGACGGCACGGCGGAGATGTACTGCGTCTCCAACTATCCAGAGGCCGGTCAGTTCTGCTAAGTTCTGTGTAAAGAACAGATGAAACATATTGTCATTTAATATGTATGGAAAAATAGCAACACATGGCAGAACGTGAAGCCGTAGTGGTGAACTCAAGAACAGTAAATAGGCCTCGTAGCCAAGAAAAGCTTTTAAATCCCTTAAAACTAAAAGGGTGACGGCTGAGATGTACTGCGTCTCCAACTAGTAGAGAAAATGTAGAGAAAATATTGAATTATATCATTGTTGTTATTTGTCATGTTTGTAATTTCATATGGAACCAATATAGGAATTTCATATAGGAACCAATAGAAACACATAGAGTGATTGATTAATTGATTGATTGATTGATTGATTGATTGATTGATTGATTGATTGATTGATTGAGTGAGTGAGTGAGTGAGTGAGTGAGTGAGTGAAAGTAGCCCTCACCGTCTAGAAAGCAGAAACTAGAAGGCAGCCATATGATGTTGCAGTAATGCTGGGAGTTGAATCCATGACTTTTTGTTCAGAGCCCCAATCCTCCATAACACACACACACACACACACACACACACACACACACACACACACACAGACACGCGCGCGCGTATGCACTCGCATACACACAGATAGACAAAACCTTGACTGAGACCAACCCCTTGCTGTGCACATGTTTGCCGCAGACCTGAACTGGAACCTGCTGCCGACCCTGGGCAGAGACGCTCAGGAGATGATTGACAACCAGGACCGCTGGCTCTCGGGAGGGCCGTGAGTACAAACTTGTTAATCCTCATTTTATTCAGTAGGGTGTTTATCTGAACTTTGAATCCCATTTCCGGCATTTCCACAGTATTTACAACAATTTTGAGGAAGACATTTTTCATGAGGAAATTTATCTAGGAAATTGGACTTACTCAAACTTTCGTCCAATTTCTTGTGTTGGATATTACGGTTTGAATTTCCTCATCATGACGTCGACCAACACTGATGATAAGGTTGACAGTTGTTAGAGTTCCTTTCCTATACTTTGTGCTAGAAAGTGTACTATCGTTCAATTTTAACGTTTATTACCGTTATTTCTCCACCCCAAAGTGCCCTTTTGTGCTAGAAAGTGGATTATTTTTTTTCCAATTTAACGCTTTTCCCGTTATTCTCCACCGCAGAGAGCCCTCTCAACATAAGGTTGACAGTTTTTTGAGATTATTTTTTCCTTTTTAACATTTTCCCGTTTTGTTTCCGCAGAGTGCCCTCAACCTTCGCCATGTCCGGCAGGCTGTTCGGCATCAACGCGGACGCGGAGGGCTTCCGCGCAGGCGCATGGAACTGCTCTGACGATGGCCAGGGCTTCGGGTCGTGGGTCATCGGCATCACCAACTTCCGCAGCAGTAAGTGTCTTTTAAAGTGATATCATATAAGATTTTTGCGCCAAAAATGAAAATACAAATAATTGAATGCTTTCTCATATAGGTTGTCATTTTTGATAACCAGTTGCTAGAGTAACTACTTTTTGGCGTGAAAATTGCTTTCATTATGAAATCTACGTGGTCATGAAGGTTGAACAAATGACACAGGGTATGGTATGGCGAATAATCTACTCTTCAAATTCATTTCTTTTCATTTTCATCTTTTTCGTTTGATTTTGGCATTCTACGACATTGGTATCATTTTCAAATATTTTTTTTCAACTTACGGTATATATTTGCTCATTTTGCAAATGTTTTGTACGATTTACAGTATAGTTGAAAACTTTTATTTGGAAATGGCCGAAAATTCATGCGCGCGCGGATATCAGCCATATAATCAAATCAACATGGCCTTACCTGAATGTCTAACCTTCACCGACGACACTATTACCGTTATCTATTTCACCCCATGTGGCATTTATTCTGTTTTCTTGTTTTCCAGCCGCCATCAAGCCGTTCAAAGTGACGCAGACGGTTAACGAGGGGCAGCGCGGTGTGAACCTCATCATGAACCAGACCGTTCCGGAGGCCTTCGCTAAAAGGTAACGTTTTTTTGCATAAGCTTAGCAACGTTGTTTATACATGTCTCAGCGAAAATCACTTATAGGTACTCGTCTATCTCAAGGTGTGATTTCCAGATACTTAGTGATGAAGCAGAAACTAGTGTTTGTTTGGATTTTAACCGAGGGTAAAGTGAGGCCCAAACGTGCCTGCCAAGCTGGTGTGTTATGCCTAAGGGCGGTTATACCAGTTCCACAAATACAAATACAGAAGATCGTTCTATGCCTGAAATGGTCAGGAGTAGGATCAGGCACGGTTCTGGATAGTTTCCGCGTATCCAAGAACGTAGATTTGCCCCAGGCACGGTTCTGGATGCGCATGGACTTTCTAGAACCTTGCCTGAGCATGATAAAATTTTAACACGGTTCTGGACACAGAAACTGGTATCTGTTTTGATGGCTACAATTTTTTTTCCCCAGGTGGAACCGCGGCCCGAACGTGATCGGCGGCTCTGACACCCTGAGTCTGGACCTGGACTCCAAACGGGGCGGGAACACGCTGGAACAGTTCGTGAGCCCGGGCCGAGGGGTGCTGGACTGTTACCAACAGGGACAGCGGGAGGATCCTACTAAAGCCGGCATGATGAGGGTCATCGTCAGATGTAAGTCTCTAACCCTAAACCTAACCATAAACCCCTAACCCTAACCCTAACCCTAACTTCCTAACACTAACACTAACGCTAACGCTGGAACAGTTCGTCAGCCCGGGCCGGGGGGTACTGGACTGTTACCAACAGGGGCAGCGGGAGGATCCTACTAAAGCCGGCATGATGAGGGTCATCGTCAGATGTAAGTCTCTCTAAACCCTAACCCTAACTTTAAACCCAAACCCCCTAACGCTAACACTAACCCCCTGCCTCTACTCCTAACCCTCCCAAGGGTCAACATCAGATGTAAGTCACTTTATAACATAATCCTAACCACAACAAGGCAGGTCTCGGTAAACCTTGGAGCTAGCCTTGGCTGAATAGATCTTGTTTCTAGCAGCCTTTCCACTGGTCAGGCCCCAAGCCTGACTACATCATGCTTTACGTTCCATCCATATGTATATGTGCTAACTTAGACCAATTATGTCAATAACTGCGTTAACACGGTCATTGTTAAATTTTTTGACATGGAAAAAGGAGGTTAAACACAAAAACTTTTTTCTTGTCTCGTGCAATAACAACGGCCTGTAATTTTGGATCAACAGGATCTATAGAAGAGACCATACACGTTTTTCTATGCTTCTGTTCACGTGTTTCTGCCTTTCTGTACATTTCGCCCATAGGTACTTACAGATGCTAGAACGGGACAGAAGAGATATTTCCCAGTATCAATTACATCTTGATAGCGTGATCGCTGGTGTAACCAGGCAATCTGTTTGTTAGACAATCAGCGAATCCGGCTGTAGACGCAGACTTTCTATTGTACAGGGCCGTATCAATGGCACATATTGAAGAGATGTACAACTGTAGATCTTTCGTGTTTCCATTGATGAAGTGGCCCTTAACCATGCCAGAATGGGACAGAATTGATCTTTTCCACAATCAATCAAATTTGTACAAAGCACGATCGTCGGTGTAGCCTGGTAATTTGTTTGTTAGTGAGTCAAGGCATCCGGCTACGATGTAGATCTGCTATTGTAAAAGGACGTATCAAAAGCACACATTGGAGAGATACATACAAACCTGTATCTCTTTCACGATGAAGGCCAAGGGGTCCTTGTGGTTTCTTCAATGAGACAGAATGGCTCTTTCACAGTATCAATTACGGTTGAATAAAGCTTCATAGCTGGTGTTACCAGCTTATTTGTTTGCTAAAAAAGCAGGGAATCCGGGACGTTGGTGAAGAATATATCATAGAGACCCACAAAGCAGCAATTGTCCTTCTATTAAGTGTTATACAAGTCTGCTGCAATACAACACAAATGATGACCATTATCTACTCATGAAGAGGACTTTGGAGTATTTCAAGTACTTACCTGCTTCGTCCCTCAACGCGGATGTCAACTTTTCATTCACTGTAAATAGAAAAGCGGAGATATTAGACTCGTTAATAGAGAACTGTTTACCACTTGACCATATGTAGGTAGCTCTTGGGCTACGCAATAAAGTTTTGATTGCTCGACCGATTGATTGATCGATTTCTCGTAATAGATGAATTGGTTCTATCGCGTGCCATGGGGCAAGTTTCACGTTATATGGCACTGTTTACCAATGTGCCATACATTGTATCCGCTAGAATTGTTGCAAAATAGATGGATTAATCGATTGATAACTTGATACACTGGGTGATCGATCAATTGATTGATCTATTGATGTATTGATTATTTGTGTAGCGTGTCCGGAGGGTAAGTACGGCGGAGGCTGTACGGACGACTGCCCACGCTGCTATAACGGTGGAATGTGCCATGACGAAACGGGGGAGTGCATCTGTCCGCCTGGCTTCATGGGCAGGAACTGCGAACAACGTGAGTCTGTCCTACCTTTTCTTGTGGGTGTCTTACATTTCTGATATGTGATTTCTTATGTTTGGATTGTGTTTATGTTCCAATATATCTGTGTGTGTGTGTGTGTGTGTGTGTATGTATGTATGTATGTATGTGTGTGTGTGTGTGTCTGTCTGTGTATGTGTGTGTGTGTGTCTGTGTAACACCTTATGTCTCTCTCTCTCTGTCTATCGGTATCTGTGTGTCTGTGTGTGTGTCTGTGTGTGTGTCTGTCTGTCTGTGTGTCTGTCTGTGTGTCTGTCTGTCGGTCTGTCTGTCTGTGTGTAACGCCTTACCTTGTGTCTGTCCTAGCGTGCGGAGGAAACAAGTTCGGAGTGAACTGTACTCACCAGTGTAAGCGTCCTCAGCGGGATGACCAGTGTATGGAGCTCCTGTTCTGCATGCCTGATCCGTGGGGTTGCAGCTGTGCTACTGGATTCCGCGGAGACGAGTGCGACGAATGTAGGTCCAAAGTCATTATCTGTTATTTGGTTATTGTGTGGGCCAGATACCCTCACTTTGCATCCAAGAGCAGGGTGGTGCCTATCTCCGTTTCTATAACCCTTGGGCCACACAGTTTTGCAAGCACTTCGGCAGGGGGCTGTAACAAATGGGTATAAAGTTTTAAAAAGTTAAAATCTGGATAGTCCATGCGTATCCAGAACCATGCCTGGGCCAAATCTACGTTCTTGGATACGCGAATGCTATCCAAAGCCATGCCTGATCCTGACTGTAACTCATTGAGGCATAGAACTAGATAAGCACATGTCTATAGCTCTTAGGCTAGGCCGCACAGTTGTGCAAGTAGCACAGAAGCAATGCTTGTACGTCCATGTATCATGTTTAAAGTTTTAAGTTAAAACTTGAAATCTTTGAACCGCATAATTTCAAAACTTTAAAACTAAAGCAGGGGACTGTAACGAAAGGTAAAAAAATCTAGATATCATTATTTCCTCATATGTTTCAGCTTCTGCTAGCAGACCATCCCGACCTTACATGTTATCTGCCTCTCTTTCCACACAGTCTGTCCCCAGGGCAGGTTCGGAGCCGACTGCAACCAAAACTGCAACTGCAAAAACGACTCGAACTGCAACATCTACACGGGCAACTGTCCGGAGGGCTGCAGGGAGGGCTGGAAGGGTGCAACCTGTCAGGAGGGTAGGGTTTTCTCGTTTTGTTTTTATTATTTGGAGACAAAAATACGAAACAGGGCAGAAACAATATCTTTCTTTCTCTATGAAGATGAACATGGGAAAAAAAAGAAAAAAATGAAAACCTATCTTCCTGTTTTTTTCTTGTTTTTTTTTCATGTTTATCTTCGCACAGAAGGAAAGATATTGCTCCTGCCCTGTTTTGTATTTTCATCTCCAAATAAGTAAGGTCATTGAGCTGGACCAGACGTCTGCTACCATGGTAACTGGCACGGTAGCCGACACCCTGTGGTGTTGAGTTACATTATGTAGCAAGTGGCAGGACACAGTTGGAGGGGCTGGTCACCATATACTAGTATATAAACAGTAGCATTCATACATACATTATATATGATGCACTTACATGTATCTGTCACCACAGAGTGCGCCCCTGGCGAGTTCGGTTCTAACTGCCTGCTGAAGTGCCACTGTTGGGTTACATTATGTAGCAAGTGGCAGGGCGGAGTTGGAGGGGCTGGTCACATTATACATACATTATACTTGATGTACTTATTTGTTATTCCAGAGTGTGCCCCTGGCGAGTTCGGCTCTAACTGCCTGTTGAAGTGCCACTGCATGAATAACGAGACGTGTGACGGGGCGACGGGACACTGCCCGCCCGGCTGTGCCGTAGGATGGCTCGGACCCTCATGCCAAGGTTAGGCAACACTCGTCTCTTTCCTCATCTTTATAGCTAAGCACATTGCTTGGCTATCGGGCGATACCTAAGGGTATATGAGGGCATTTTTGTGTGTATTTGCCAAGGTTAGGGAGCATTTGTATTTTCACTCTTCTGTGTAGCTATGTATGTTAGGCGTTCCAAAAGAAGAGAAGCGTACTCAATGTGCCTCGGACTGGCTGGGAGAGACGTGCCAAAGTTAGGGCCCGGTCACATTCGTAGTGCGTTATGCACTCAAGTTACAACTTATTTTGCTACACCACATACACACAGAACAACAATCATCAGCAGTGTGCCCCCTCCCCCGTTACCCAATTTTGTAATAAACAGATATGTACGCTCGTATATAATGAGTAAGAAAATGTAGTGTTTGACTTCTATATCTATTTCACGGACATGTACGTCAGTCAAATACAGCCAGAAAGGCTTATTGCCTTCAATATATATTTGTGTTAATAGTAAAATCTTGAAATAAACTTATAAAGTTTACCTAGTTGCATCCTTTAACACTTATTCCCTGACTGTTCCAGAGCCCGACGACTGCGTGACGAACGAGTGTCTGAACGGCGCCACGTGTAACGACCTTCGGGACGCCTACAACTGCAGCTGTCCTATCGGCTGGATCGGGCGCTTCTGCGAGACCATGACACGTAAGGACAAACAAACAAACAAACAAACAAACAAACAAATCAATCAATCACAGACACACTACCCACATTACGCTTCTGCGAGACCATGACACGTAAGGACAAACAAACAAACAAACAAACAAACAAACAAACAAACATCACAGACACACTCCCCACATTACCCTAACACAACTGCAGCTTTCCTATCGGCTGGATCGGGCGCTTCTGCGAGACCATGACACGTAAGGACAAACAAGCAAACAAACAAACAAACAAACAAACAAACAAACAAATCACAGACACACTCCCCACATTACCCTAACACAACTGCAGCTGTCCCATCAGCTGGATTGGGCGATTCTGCGACACACGCAACACACTACCCACATTACCCGATGAAAATACACATACATACACCGTGACACGTAAGGAAACTATTAGGGTACAGGTCAACTTGAAGTTCAACCAAATCATGTCCAGATACATGCAACACATCTTATAAAATATACAAGGACGTATCAAATTATCCATCCGTCTTATAGCCTAATCTAGACACAACCGTGTCTAGATTAGCTGCAGTTGTCTCTGAGTTACTCTGAGTATCAAATCCAGAACCGTGCCTGTCTAGTTCTGTGCCTGGATGGGTTAGGATCAGGCACGGTTCTGGATAGTCTCTGTGTTTCCAAGAACGTGAATTTGCCCCAGGCACGGTTCTAGATACGCGTGGACTATCCAGAACCGTGCCTGAGCATAGTTCTGGATACAGCACGGTTCTGGATACAACAAGAGTTACCAAGTGCTGTTGGCCCTGAAAACTATCACTTCACAAACACCCCCACTTACACACGTTCTAGCTCAAAACATGACATGTGATCGTGAGAAATGTCGTTTTTCGGGGGGTGGGGTAATCTATAAGCCAAGCTAACATGTCCCCCCCCCCTCCAGCCGAACCCTGCCGTGACCTGGAACCCTGTGAGAACGGTGCCACCTGCGTGCCGCTGAGTGAGGAAGAGTACCGCTGTGACTGTGCGGAGTAACCTCACTGTAACATGTCTGCCCAGTAAGCTAACATGTCTGCCCAGCAAGCTAACTTGTCTGTCCCCGCTTCCAGCCGAACCCTGCCGTGACCTGGAACCCTGTGAGAACGGTGCCACCTGCGTGCCGCTAAGTGAGGAGGAGTACCGCTGTGACTGTGTAGAGTAACTACACTGTAACATGTCTGCCCAGTAACCTAAAATCTCTCTGCCCCCCTCCCCTCCAGCCGAACCATGTCGTGACCTGGAGCCCTGTGAGAACGGTGCCACCTGTGTGCCGCTTAGTGAGGAGGAGTACCGCTGTGACTGTGTAGAGTAACTACACTGTAACATGTCTGCCCAGTAACTACACTGTAACATGTCTGCCCAGTAACTACACTGTAACATGTCTGCCCAGTAACTACACTGTAACATGTCTGCCCAGTAAGCTAACATGTCTGCCCAGTAAGCTAACATGTCTGCCCAGCAAGCTAACATGTCTGCCCCCCCCCCTTCCAGCCGAACCATGCCGTGACCTGGAGCCCTGTGAGAACGGGGCCACCTGTGTGCCGCTGAGTGTGCGGAGTAACCACACTGTAACATGTCTGCCCAGTAACCTAACATGTCTGCCCAGCAAGCTAACTTGTCTGTCCCCCCTCCAGCCGAACCATGCCGTGACCTGGAGCCCTGTGAGAACGGGGCCACCTGTGTGCCGCTGAGTGAGGAAGAGTACCGCTGTGACTGTGCGGAGTAACTACACTGTAACATGTCTGCCCAGTAACTACACTGTAACATGTCTGCCCAGTAAGCTAACATCTCTCTGCCCTCCCCCGTTCAGCCGAACCATGCCGTGATCTGGAACCCTGTGAGAACGGTGCCACCTGTGTGCCGCTGAGTGAGGAAGAGTACCGCTGTGACTGTGCGGAGACGTACGAGGGACAACACTGCGAGGTGCAGAACCTGCCTGGTACGTATGTAAGGGTGGTCGTCAGGTCTTTATGTGTGGTCTTTGTAGTTAGAGTTGTTAACTCAGAATCTAGCAGAGACGTACGAGGGACAACACTGCGAAGTGCAGAACCTGCCTGGTACGTACTTGAGGCGTTGGATCACATTATGTAGCAAGTGGCAGGACAGAGTTGGAGGGGCTGGTCACGATATATATGAAGGGACAACCCATTTGTCCGTAAGATAAACAAATAAATAAATAAATAAATAAGAATAGACAGAACTGCAGCTTAGAAAGCTAGACCATGTGAAGGTTAACATTGTGCTTTTGCTCTGTAAATGTTATCTTTGTAGGTTTTCGTTGTTGTTTTCTTCTTCTTGTTTAAAGAGAAGACGTCCCCAGTCGAAGCAATCGTTATTTTTCATTGTTGCTGTTTTGGTGTTTTTGTTACAGAGGAGACCGGTTATCATTGTTGTTTTTTGTTGTTTTCTTGTTGTTGTTTATCATTTGAAATGTTTGTTTTGTTGTTGTTATTTACAGAAGAGGCCGGCTCCCCGGTGGGAGCTATAGTGGGCGCGCTGGTGGCCGTTCTGCTGATCGGCGGGATCGTTATTTTTCATTTATCAGAAATGTTGTTTTCTTGTTATTATTTACAGAAGAGGCCGCTATAGTTGGCACGCTGGTTGCCGTTCTGTTGATCGGTGGAATCGCGGGGGCGGCGTACTACTTTGTTGTTGTTTTCTTATTGCTGTTTACAGTAGAGGTCTGTTCTTATTGTTATTGTTTTTTTTTACCTACAGAAGAGGCCGGTTCCCCAGTGGGGGCTATAGTTGGTGCCCTGGTGGCTGTTCTGTTGATCGGCGGGATTGCGGGAGCGGCGTACTACTACCTGAAGGTGAAGAAGAACAAGGGCAACGACGGGAGGGTCTCACCTGAGGCGCAGGGAGACAGCGACGACGAGTAACGCGCACCTGGCAAGACGGAGAAGTGAAAGTGATCCTCTTCACTTTCACTTGTCTAAACTATCTTAAATCTTTAAGGACTTGGTACCTATTTTTACTCCACATTTACTTTCACATATCCAAACTATATTAAAAGTCATGTGAAAGTTGTTCAAACCAACTTAAATCTTTAAGGACTTGGTACTTATTTTCACCTCACATTCAGTTCCACATTCACATGCCCAAATTGTCCAAAACCATTTTTTTACCAATAAAATGAATGAAAAGATAATTGAATGACTGTAAAATCTAAACTTCATATTGAAACACCCTTTTATGTAAAGACCTGTTCGACCATTATAAGAACGTAAGAAAGAAGGATGAAAAAAATTTAATAAAAAAAAAAACCGGCCGGGAGCCCGATTTGAATTCTTTACAGACAGCAAAGTGTAAAATTCTTAGACATATCCAAATTGTTAAGAGAGACTCACTGCATTCAAAGATACCAAAATTAGGGAAGACCGAATCAAAAGTTTAGTGAATTTTTGTGTTAATGGTAAAATCACCCAGTTACGTCCACATGTGAATCACATGTAAAACAAAGTAGGACATAAACCTTAAGGTTTACACAAAAACAGCACCAGAAACTTGGGATATGATAACCTGTGATATAAATTACATTTACCTGAACAATCGTTTGGGAATTTCTAATGTCAAGTAGCCAGACTGGTAAATCAACGTAATCTACAATTTGTGAAAGTAAATAGAAATGTACATTCACTAGTTATGAAAAATCTTAATCTATTAGGTGAAAGCTATAAGTACATGTACTTAATTTTGAAGGATCTTTTTTGTGACAAGGACAGTGACGTCTAGCATTTAAATAGAAGTCAGAATGACGCAATGCAACCGTTAGTTCAACATTACAACTAATGCAGAAGTAAAAGAAAACTTGCAGCAAAATGTAGGCATCTAAAAGAAGGCAAAGACATATTTTCGTAAGTAAATATGAAAAGAAAGAGGGGAATTTAGTAAAATTCTTAGAACTTGAAAGACACTAAGAGTTCTAATACAATAAGGGGAAGTAGCTTTTATTCTAAAGCTTCTGATATATTGCTAATATTCTAAAATGCAAATTTCAATCTGTCTTCACTAGTGAGGAATTGATAAGATTTGACTATGCTATGTTTAATGAAATAGACGCACAGACGAACTGACGAACTGACTGGCTGACAAACAAGGACGGAAACAAGTATAACACGTGACTAATTACGCAACGACTAACTGACAATGACATAGAGGTACAGACTACGTCACCCGCGTCTGCCACCCTATTGGCTAGGCTTGATGACGTATGGTGACGTAAGTTGTACCTCATAACTATTATGTGACAGATTTATATTTGTTGCAAACGAGTTCTGTTCAAGGGACACATTCTGACTGAAAATCGCAATGGAAGTTCAAAGCCATAACACTAACTTTATAAATAATGTAATATTCTCAGGGTCAGTGTCTTATATCTGTCAGATGTCTATTTCTCTTTTTTTGTATCATATTCTGTTAGAATGTTAATTGCTTGATCTAGTGCTGAATTATTGCGCTTGAAATCTAATATATTCTTCGTGATTTAAGAATTGTTCACTGCTGTTAATTTGTTAGACTGTCAATTGCTTGCTCTAAAGATAGCCACATTGACGCTTGTGAAATCTAATTAATATATTATTCGTGATTTGAAAAATGTTTTACTGCTACTTGTGAGTTCTGCTGTTCAATAAAACTTTATCAGTTACACCAAACGCGTGTGTCTTTCATGGTTGCCTCTCATCCTAGAGTGAATATACGGAGTATACAGTCGAATCAATGGTATACACCAAGGATACAAGGTAAATACGAAACTGAACGGAGATGCAAAAGGGTTCGGCTTCACATCCGTTGAAATAGTCATTTCCTGATTTTTTTTCACATCTAATTGTGCGATTCCCGAACGGCCAAAAATCTGGGTATGCAAAGAAAATAACCCAGTAGATCTGTCGGTATTCATATACTAGTATATGTGCCAATTAAAAGGATGGTAGGATAACGTTTAGGAAATGGAAGTATCCGAGGTCATTTCTTCCAGTGGTAAAAATACGCAAATCAACTCTAACCTGTACTATTACAAGATTGAACTGAATTAGGCATGGTATCTAGGCTATAAAGTAGTATTAAATGGCAGGTTGCATGAAAATCTTATAAGACCCAAACAGGAGCCCGTACATGAATTACCTTAATCTCCAAGCAGATCCTATGGTGGCAAGGCAGTTTCCATTGGCCAGCGGACTGTCCAGTGGCCACCGACACTCCTCTGGCCAATGGATACTGCCTTGCCACCGTATGATCTGTTTGGAGATTAGAATTACCTCACATTTACACCTGTTTTCCCCCGTCGAAACTCTAAGTAGTTTAAACGCATTTTATAGCATTTTAAGAAGTGTAAAAGACGTTGTACGTTCTATGTGCGTCTTTTACATACGTTTACAAATCCAAGTTTTGTCGCTGAACTGCATAAATGACAGGTGTACATGACAGGAACATAGGGCGTAACCACAACGCACAGCGAAATAGAGAATGACACATTTACGTAAAAACAGTTAACTCATGCAACTGGATATGCCTTAGGAATGGTCAGACGTTTCAGGTAGCACACGGCACATTTGCTGATCAATAGTTCATGCACACGAAGTGACTAATACGATAGGT